TTTTTTGTAATCTTTGAGCTTTTAATGGGTCAACAAAATAGTAAATTGATTTTATTAGTGTGTTAATAATATGTATTATTGTTATGTTTTTATTGGTTCAAATTTTTGCTGATGTGTGAGCTTCTTATAACAGAACGCTTTTTGCATTGTTGTTATGGAAGCATAGTTGATGATGAGTCTACACTTTCTTCAATCATACACGTATCTATCAAGCAAACACATAGGTAGAAATTTTAATTTTTTTTGCTGTTATTTATTATTTGAGTTTCGGTTTGGCAAAAATATAAAACAAAAATTTAATTTTATTGTTTTTTGTTATTTATTATTTGAGTTTGGCAAAAAAATAAAACAATTTTTGTTTATTTGCTGTTTTTTATTATTTAGGCTTGGGCTTGACCAAAAAATAAAACTAAAATTAACAATAAAAAATATTTGGGTTTTTAATGGGTTTAAATTTAAAAGTTAAAATATATTGATGACTTGTATTAATGAAATGTTTTTATTGGTATTTTTTTTTGCTAAAATGTCATCTCCTAAAAGCTTGAAAATGCTGATGTGTCAAGTTATAGAGAGACTTATGGGTTATTGTTGTGTTGATTATTATTGTTTATGAAAGGAATTAAATATTAACAAGTTTCTCATATATCTATAATATATCCAACCTAGCTAGCTAAGTTTCTTTATCCGAATACAATAGCCCTAAAGTTATGAAATTATAATGATGGCGTCAATTTTTTTCCTTTTTTTTATTCGCCTTTAAATCTGATTTCTTTAATCTAACCTGGAGGTTATGATTTATGAAAAAAAGATAATCGATCTGATCAAAGTAACCCTAACCTGTACCCTTTATACCATTGGAAGATTTGCTTTCTTTTGAAAAACAAAATCTTTAAATTCACATAAAAAGAAGATTTATAATTAAAGGAGAAAAAAGAAAAACAATAAAGAGAAATATTCTCGTTGGGATCAGAGAAACTAAGAGATCGGAGAAAGAATGTGGCAGCAATGATCAGTTAATACGTCATCGTTTTATGCATGCAGTATATAGTCCTACAATATGAAGCAAAACGAGAAAGTGAAAGTACTTACTAACTTATTACAGACATATACATCATCATATGTATACGTCTATCTTTTCCTATAAACTTTTCTTTTTGCTTTTATATTTCTTGAGCTGTAACTTTAATCACATTCTCTTAGAATTCAGTAGCAAAAGCTCTTCACACCTTCCTTCTTTATTTTTTTTATATGCTTTAGTTTTTTCTTTTCTTTTCTAATTTCCCTTTTGGTCCTTTCTTTTTTCCCCGACTTATCTCTCTAATATCATTTCTTGAAAAAAAAAATTATATATATTTTATCGGGTATTAATTACATGTATATACAAAAACTGGCACAAGACTTATAATCTATATACTTTGGGCTAATGTTATCATCCAAAATTTTCAAACCAAGATAATGTATATTGTTGACAAAAATTACACATACAAAAATGATTACCGAACCATGATGTCTCATAAAATGATGATTTACCTTTTGTTGATCGTTCGGCAGATAAAACTCACTATATATGCGAATGAACAATAATCTGCAGTCTTTATAAAAAAAGGAAACAATTAAACTGCAGTGCACTAAAGGACGAAAAAACTGAAGGTGGAGCATGTTAAAACCTCTAAATTCTTATGCAATTTGCAAAAATATTGCATATTTTGGAAATTGAACTTGAAATCTAACGTAAAAGCATTTAATCATTTGTTCAACCGTAAATTGAATTTATCGATCGTTGTCATTTTAAGGTATTAAGTTAGAATTTTGCTATGGACTATCATGCTAAATATTTAAAACTTTCAAGGAAATTATATTTGAGTTGCGATCGAATCTGTAATTTTATATGCGTGTATATGAACAACCACTAAGCAGAAGCAGACATGTGTTTGTACAAGCTTATGTACATATGTATTGAGTACTCAAATACTTTAAGCATGATTAGATAATTTGGTACGTTAGGCACAGCTTTTGCATGGGAGAAGACATAATGATTATGAAATACGTAGACATGTTGTATAAAATCACTAATTTATGATTAAAAAAAGATGGCAATAATTCGAGTACCATGCATGATCAAAAGTTGTGGTAACTTAACTGCTTCACACAATAAAGCTTAAAATTCTACATAACATGCAATGTTTTTTTCATCCTGACACCAATAGCGCGCCAGCGAGGAGGACCACCAATCTTTTCTATTAGTATTAGTTAGATATTGGATCATTGTATATTTCAACAAATATATTTATGAGAAATAGCAGTTTTTTTTGCATAAGAATTTTATCACGAATTCACATTTTAATGAAATTTAAACCTCAAGGTAAAGTTTAAGATCAAGTCTATGAACTGGAATATATACTACTAGTCTACTATAGTGTTCCAAATTTAGGGTTTTAATTATTGGTATTCGAAAAATGGCAGAATGATACCGCGATTTTATTGAGTTTTATCAATCACACATTAATGCTGAGTCGCGATTTATATCCAGTTATTATGTGATGTCGTGATATATATACACCTAATGTTTTCAAGTGATTCCAAAACACGACCCATGAGATGTGATGGCAAAACTCTAGCAAAAAATTAATAATTTTTCTCTCAAGTTTTTCCAGTTTTTAACAACAAAAAATGGATTTTCCAGTCAAAGTTATAGCTTGTGAATCAAGAAGTATAATTTACACTCTGAGTCTTTAGGGTTTAAAACATTACTAGAAAATATATTAAACAATAGTAGTTTATACTGACATACAGATAATTGTTTTTTTATAAGATATATTTTTAATAAAAAGTAGTTTTTTTTAAACATAGTTTACTCGAATTTTATGATTGATATACTTAAGGTATATTACGAGCTTAGAGAGAGAAAGCGAGGAGATATTGGTAGTGCTTTGAAAATTGAAAGATAGGAGACAGATTGTTGCTTTTTTGGGATACTTGAAGAATGAAATTCTGTCTCTCTTCAAAGATCATCCTCAAAGACAGTGACACCACTTCAATTTCTACATAATATATATATATATATATGTTGGTTTATATACTAAATATATTGCAAATTTACTTTCACGTCTCTTTATTATTAACTTTTGCTTTTCTTTATGGTTATACGCTCGCTCTTTTAGTTCTCTAGTTAGAGGAAGATCGAGAGACTTGAAAGAAACCAAGAAAAAAAAAGAGAACAAAGATGACCCTTTCTTTTATATGAAACTATTCCCATACATAAACGTAAAATTCTAATGTTGCTATCTATTAATTTATTTTAAAGAATATTATTATCTTGTGACTCAGTTTTGTTAGCGCATTTGGTTAATTAAGCATTTATATTTCTTAATTCTTCCTGGATTTGGTATATTACCCAAATAATTTTTGTTTCGCTTTTATCAATACCAAAATAATTGAAAATATGAAAAAGGCCATGGACCAAAGATCCAAAACCCGGATCTTCCTCATTACGAACAAGAGAACGAACAATCACTATTTTCGGACCTAAAATTTCAGCTATATAACTCTCGAACACATAACTTTAAATACAACTTTCAGTGTATAAATAGTAGAGATGTAGGCTACAAACAGTTGGCGGGCAATATCACTTTTGGGATCAAGCACCTCGTATTTTGTAATTACTGTAGTTAGTTAACCGCTATATAACATGATAAAAATTATAAAATCGGAAAATGAGTCTTAAATCGGAACTTATTTTCAATCGACTTTTGAAAGACCAGTTAGAACTGGATCCAATCACAAGACCCGTATCTGCAAGGCACACCCATGCGTGTATATGAGAATATCATGTGTATGTTTTACACTTTTTGTTGTTTTTGTTAACTATGAAATTTCTCACCTAGACTCGTAATCTTCCAATCTGAACTAACAGTTGATAATATCCATTTGAACGTAAATCATCTCTCCTAAACCATTTTCAGGGACCAAGCAAACGCAAGTAAACTACCCAATGAGAAGAGCATTTTTTTAGAACCATGAGTTTGCAGTGAGTGGACAGCTCCACGTACTTTATATACTGTTCTAGAAATCTCCCAACTTCCAATGTGTAACAATCACAGCATTCTAATTAATAAACATATTAGTGTGTGAAAGTTCATTTGTGTTTTGGGCATCTCGCTGCTATACAAAAACATCCATGCTAAATTTAATCTTTCCAAAAGTTATGAGATTAAAAATTTCAAGATTTGAGTATGGTGTTCTATATGCATGAGTATGGAAATTACAAGAGCTGATTGAAGAGAACACAAAGGTGCTAAATTACCAAACCCTTGTACGTATTTCGATTACATGCATCATGTTTCATGAGATCATTACAAAGATCAGATTCTTGACGGAAAATTTTGAGAAGTTACTAAGTCATCAAAAGTCCTAAAGAAAGCAAATGGCTGTGTGGAATTACTGTTAAATTTTTGTCGAAGTTTCTTTTGTATTCACTTTGATTCTGGCTTCATGCTTAAGTTGTGGGGAAAACAAATACAAGAAATCAAGTGGAATATTTAAAGATAAGTGTATCTACTACGATATGTTTAAAAAAGTTCAAGGAAAAATTGTTTTATGGTAAAGCTAAAATAATTTTATTTAACAAAAAAAACGGATACAAAAACTTTTAGAGTACCCTAATTTCCATTATATTATAATGTTAGTTGTATAAATAAAAAATATAACCATACCTTAAAAAATTTCACTGGGCCTCCGTTATTATTAAGCCGGCCCTCAATATTCATATGTATAATATAAAGATGATGAATTTAATATAGTTCGACACAATTTAACTTGAATCTGTGGAGGGAAACGAAGCTTGAAGGAAGTGGGAAATTCAAAAAGCTTCAGAAAGCTGTCTTGCTATTCAAAAGACGAAAGCAAAAGGAGAGTATAATTTATTAAAAAAACAAAAAACATAAAATAATGAAAAGAAAAACAACATCGGAAGTATGAAACCAACCCAACAATATAAAACCATAACTTGCTCTGCTCTCATCTCTTCGATACTTCTCTCACACTACACATATCTTTATAACACTAAGCTTGCGTCCTCCATTACTATTTCTTCCTTTAAGCTGCAAAAAAAACTTCAAAGTCTCAACCTTTTATTGTATCTGGGTAGAGAGAAACTTAAGATCAATTTATCATCAGAGAGAGAGAGAGAGAGAGAGAGAGAGAATTCTTGAGAGGGCTTTAGGTTTTAAGGTGGGTGGTTTTGTGATGCGTACAGGGGCTTATACCGTGCACCAGACACTAACACCAGAGGCTGCTTCAGTTTTGAAGCAATCTCTAACCTTAGCAAGAAGGAGAGGCCATTCTCAGGTCACTCCTCTTCACGTTGCTTCCACGCTTTTAACTTCCACAAGATCCAATCTTTTTCGAAGGGCATGTCTCAAATCTCATCCTTTCACAGCCCTCGGTCGTCAAATGGCTCACCCTTCTCTCCACTGTCGAGCGCTCGAGCTCTGTTTCAATGTTGCTCTCAACAGGCTTCCTACAAACCCAAATCCTCTGTTTCAGACTCAGCCTTCGCTCTCCAACGCTTTGGTCGCAGCTCTGAAGAGAGCACAGGCGCATCAGAGACGAGGGTGTGTGGAGCAGCAGCAGAGCCAGCAGAACCAGCCGTTCTTGGCGGTTAAAGTCGAGCTGGAGCAGCTTGTTGTGTCGATTCTTGATGATCCTAGTGTGAGCAGAGTAATGAGAGAAGCTGGACTCTCTAGCGTTTCCGTGAAGAGTAACATAGAGGATGACTCCTCTGTTGTTTCCCCTGTTTTCTACGGCTCTTCTTCCTCTGTTGGTGTCTTCTCTTCTCCTTGCTCTCCTTCTTCTAGTGAAAACAATCAAGGAGGAGGGACTTTAAGTCCTAACCCTAGTAAGATATGGCATTCTCAATTGACCAATCATCACTCTTTCGAGCAAAACCCGTTTTTCCATTTCCCCAAAGGAAAGGTATTCACTCCAGATCAAGCTTTTCCTGTGAGAGAAGACGCAAATCCAGTCATTGAAGTGCTTCTAGGGAAGAAGAACAACAAGAAGAGGAACACTGTCATAGTTGGAGACTCTGTGTCTCTAACGGAAGGAGTGGTTGCAAAACTCATGAGTAGAATTGAGAGAGGGGAAGTTCCAGATGATTTAAAGCAAACTCATTTGATCAAGTTTCAGTTTTCACAAGTTGGGTTGAATTTCATGAAGAAGGAGGATATAGAGGGACAAGTCAGGGAGTTGAAGAGAAAAATTGATTCTTTCACATCTTGGGGTGGTAAAGGTGTGATTGTTTGTCTTGGAGATCTGAATTGGGCAGTGTGGGGCGGTGGTAACAGCGCATCATCATCGAATTACAGCGCAGCGGATCATCTAGTGGAGGAGATAGGGAGATTGGTTTATGATTATAGCAACTCAGATGCCAAAGTTTGGCTTTTGGGGACAGCTTCTTACCAAACATACATGAGATGTCAAATGAAGCAGCCTCCACTAGATGTTCAATGGGCTCTTCAAGCTGTTTCAATTCCTTCAGGAGGACTTTCACTAACCCTCCACGCTTCCAGGTTCCTCTCTTCTTCTTAGTTTTTCTTTTCAGATCATTGATTTAACAAGTTAAGTAATTGAAATCAATACTAAAATACTTGATGTTTCAGTGGTCACAGTTCTGAGATGGCTCCTCAAGTGATGGAGATGAAGCCATTTAGAGTTAAGGAAGAAGCAGATGGAGCAGGAGAAGAAGAGGCAGAAGATAAACTTAATTTTTGTGGAGAATGTGCTTTTAACTATGAGAAAGAAGCAAAAGCTTTTATATCAGCTCAACACAAAATCTTACCGCCTTGGCTGCAACCTCATGGAGATACCAACAACATTAACAAAAAGGTACAATTTTTGTTGAATAATGAAGGATCTTTGTTTTGTTATTCGGCGTTTTAGTGATTACTGAACCAATTTTTTTTTTGTGGATTCAAGTTTCAGGATGAATTGAGTGGACTGAGGAAGAAATGGAACCGGTTTTGTCAAGCTCTTCACCACATGAAACCCGGTATGACTTCTCAAAGCTACAACTGGAGAGCGGAACAGAGCAGCTCTGTTTTACCGGATTCCGCAGCTGCCATATCTTTTGTGGACTCGTCAGGTCTGAAGCAACACTCACGTGCATCTAGCTCGGTGGCTAAGTTCAGACGACAGAACTCGTGTACTATCGAGTTTAGCTTCGGAAGTAATCACCAAGAAGGTCTAAAGAAGAACCTAGCCGATGAACTGAGTTTGGATGGATTCAAGATTAACAGTGATGAAGGTGTGGAAACCAAGATTACTCTTGCACTTGGTCATTCTCCATTTCCATCTGACGTAGAGAACTCAGATGAAGAAGAACCAGAGCGAGCGATTACCATGAGCGAGTTATCGGAAAAGCTTCACAAGAACATTCCATGGCAAAGGGAAGTGCTTCCTTCAGTCGTTGAAGCCATGGAGGAATCTGTAAAGAAGAGTAAGAAGAGAGATGTTTGGATTCTGGTTTCAGGGAATGATGTGACAGCAAAAAGAAGATTGGCTCTCACAATCACAACTTCTCTTTCCGGGTCACTTGATCATATGTTGAAGATCGATCTGAGAGCATCCAAGGCAACTGAAGCGTGCGAGGAGCTCGAGAATGCATTGAGAGACCGAGAAAAGGTTGTTGTTCTTATAGAGCGGGTTGATTTAGCCGATGCCTCCTTCATGAAACTTCTTGTTGATCGGTTTGAGGCTGGAAAGTCTGAAGATTTGGATGATTCTCAAGGAAAGAAGAGCCACATGATCTTCCTTTTGACGAGAGAAGATGATGAATGTGAAGAGAAGGAACATTGTATCATACCAATGGTGTTGAAGTGTAAAAAATCGGGTTCTGTTTCAGTCAACCACAAGAGGAAACCAGAATTCGATGTTGCACCGACAATGGTTAAAATGAAGAATCCAAGAATCGAAGAGGAGGAGGATAAGGATGATGTAGCTTGCGACATAAGCAACATCAAAAAAGAGTTCTCAAGACAGTTGAGTTTCGGATCAAATGCTCTTGACCTCAACTTAAGTGTTGATGAAAACGACGAAGAAGAGGCAGCAGCTAAACCAGGGTTTGAAGAACGTTTTCTAGAGTCGATCAAGAACCGGTTTGATTTCACAGTTTTGTCGAACGAAGATATAACTAATTTTTTTGTGGCGAAGATCAAAGATTCGTGCGAAGAGATCCTCGGGGAACGGGAAGAGAGATTCAGGTTTACCGTCGATGCGGAGTTGATCGAGAAGTTTTACAAAGAGTGTGGGTTTTTTGCTAACGGTTTGTTCGAAGAGTGGTTGAAAGAGGTTTTTCAAACGGGTTTAGTAACGGTCAAAAACGACGGGAAAGAGGGCATAAGTGTAATTAACCTATGTTTGGGGGGTATAGATATGATTGACCAAGAAGGAGAGGTATACGAGGAGGAAGGATTCATGGGTACTTGTCTACCCAACAGAATCCAAGTTTCCTTTGTTGATTAGCTTTGGCTTTAATTGCTGTTTTATTAATTTCTACTATTAGAATCATATATATATAGTATTTACTTATATTTGCTGTTATTTATTTATTCCGCTTTTTTAGAAGAAATTAATTATGACCCCAGAAAAGTGGAACTTGACCGCATTGTTCTTTGTGTAAACATAAGTTGCCTCACTTCATCATAGAATATGCTTTTCATTGCTTTTTTGAATAGTGTTTTCTTTTTTTCATTCAATTATCTTTTCTACTAGCTTTTTCTCAATTTTATAAATTAACCGTCTTTTTACATAAAGTCGTATGAATCTTCAATCTATGGTACATCGTTTGAGGTACTACATTCAAGCACTCAAATTCTTTTCTTCTTAGAAATTATCTTCTTGGTTCGATCGGAACTTCGAATCACGGATTATAATACAAAGAACATATATACCCCTAAAAATCAAACTTGGTTACAATAGTAGCTTCAACAATTAATCAATATGGTCTTGAAAAAGACTTTTGTTACTTCAGAGATGTTGTAGATAAAATTTAATTGGTTATTATATATTTCACATAACAGCTGTATCGTTCCATCTGTTCAGTCTATAATCTTTGGTTACATTAACTTAATGTGATACAAAAACATTAACATATGGCACCTTGAATATTTTTTTTTAATAAACATGTCAAATAATTAGTTTGAGTTACAATACACATGTAAAGTTATTCGAATAGACTAATCAATATAGTTAAGATAAAGGTTTCATGTGAACTAAATATAACATTTGTCATATTGTAGTGGAAAAGGTCATTATGCCAAAGAGTGGCTCAAGACAGTGTTCGGTTAATGCCCCATATTGTATATACTTTGGAAGTTGCTCTAAGTAATTATGAGACTAAGATATCTTAGCATTTCGTATTTTTGCATGCTCATGTAACCCTCCATTACTTATCGTTAATATTATATAGTAATGGTCTAATGGACAATATGTGCCTACAGAATCATTATCAATTATGCATATGTTAGGCAAACCAATTGTCATAATAATGATTAGCATTTTCAATATAATTAAAAATTTAGGTTTAGTTTGTAGCTCCTATAGACCTTTCATGCGTTGCACTATATAACAACTTCAGATAGTATTAGTCCCCATACATATCTATCAGATAATAAGACTAGCTAGTGTCGACCAAAAAGAAAAGACTAGTGTTGTAGTATCAGCATGTGAAGTATTCCAACCTTTTAGTGAATTCAGTGATAGATTTATATAGTAATATATATATATATATATAAAGGTGTACTAATTGAATTAATAATTAAACAAATTGTTAATGTAAATATATTTAGTTGTGAAAACCATAAATATACCAACCATCCATTTCTACTAAATTGCTTTGTCTACAATCTTATTTTTAATATTGTTTGTTGACAACTCTTTTTTTTTTTTTTTTTTTAAACGTGGTCTCCTTGCAAAACTATATATGCTCACTATTAAGAAGAGACTAATATATCATATGGTGGGACTAAAGATCGTAAAAAAAAAGATAATGGACTAGAATCATTCTAATTTATTAAATACTAAGTTTAATTTATATACTTAACGTGGAGGCACATTCTCGATCTCCACTACAAAGTACAAACCAACTCCAACATTTTGTATACTAGCTCTAAAATTCATTTTGATTTGAAGAAACTAAAAAGGTAATTCAAATTGTTTTTGACCAAAAGGTAAGCCACAATATTTGTATCAGACGGCGGAAATGGCAACTTTCTCCCCGTTTTAAAACGTTGTTTGAGTATAATTTATTATTATTTTTCATTAGTGGACCTTTTTAAAAATTATTTATTCAATTTAACAAAGTCGAAGATATTATAATTTAGACAAAAGCTATCTATTGTCCTACTACTATACTGAATATATTATAATCCAACTGTCAAACTACTTTGTCCCATTTTCCATTTATATTATTACCAAAATTTTATTAAAACCAAATTTTGTATACTTATTCAATATCAGACGTAAGTTGGTTTTTCTGTAAGACCTACTCTCTCTTTTTTTCAAATTCACTCTTCATAATATTGTAAAATTGATATTATAATTTTTCCCATCAAAAATTTTGAGGTGATATTTATAGAATCAAACCTAAAGATGACAAAGAATGCATCAGTTGTAATGTTGGATACTTGGATTGATTTTGGGTTAGTTCGATCTCAAACAGAGATCTTTGAGTTGAATCATATAATATGACATAACTTCATCGCTTGATGTTTTACGCTTTTTTTTTTAATGTGAAATGATGGATATTCGAATTGCTTATTCTGACATTTTTGTTGTCTTACATAAAATTTGTAAATGTGGTAGCGAAATTGCATGTGTTGGAGCCAGACCTTATACTTGCTAAAATGTAAGTGTTATCTTTTACATACAATATAAAATATCTAAAAGTTACTCTTTAATCATTTTGTAGTCAGTTTAAGATAATCTGAGGTATGTGGAAACCTTGTTCAAAAAAAAGAAAAAATTGGGGTATCTTGACATCTAAATACATTAGACTGCAAAATGTGATGATTTATAACATTTTTGTGAGTAAAGTTATTTATTGAACATTTTACATGTATTTGGGCTCCAATTTATTAACAAAAATCTTTGTTTTCTAAATTATAATTTATTTTTCTAATCTTTGGCTTCATTCGCGGTGGTGAAGGGACAATTAATTTTGCTAATTCGAATAGCATGTGTGAAAAAACACAATATTCGAATTAGCAAAATTAATGTCCATATTAGGAAAACTCATAATTTTAAAAACATAGATTTTTGTTAATAAATTAGGGCCCAAATACATGTACAGAACAGACCCATTGTATATATATGAGACAGCCTGTTGCCACTGTCACCACCTCTGCTAATTCTGATTCCGCCGTTGTTGTCTCTCGCCGTCTCCGGCTACTTACTCAGGTGGATTCGTTTAGCTTAATTCGAGAGTAATTGAGTGGATATATTTGAGTGAGATTTGAAGGGCTTGGCTAGATTTGGAGGTTAGGGCGGAAAAAGATCAAGTGAAGCTAAAGCGTGACATTCCCGAAGAATCCTATGTATTTCTCTCCGACATGATCCTGATCATATGGTTTTGTATTGATTTTGAATTCATGGTGCACTTTCCAGTTTGATGATGATCTGAGTCTCTTAGTTGTGGTATCGAGTCGTCTCACGGAACTGGTACCGTTCTGAAAAACCTCGTTCAAATTTTTTCAGGGTTTTGAAATCGATTCTCTGTATCTGCCTAAAGTAGTTAAGCCTCGTTGGGGATATCGTTACGATATCGCCCTTTATGGTAGGCTTGGACTCCACTGCCACAATCTTCACAAGGTAACTTCATCAGCACTACTCTCTCTCTGTCTTTTTCGTCAAAAAGTGTATTGTGAATAACTTATTTTTTGTAAATTTGACAGGGAACAAACTTTAAGTTTAGGCGATGGGAAAAGTATTGTGCTATGACGATGGCTGCATACGTCGACTTCTACTTAACTGCAACGGATCCAGCCACGGGCTCCGTCTTCTCTTTGCAGACGCTGTTAAGCGATATTGGACGTAGACCTGCTGCACACGGTATCAGAATTTCGTGGATGACCTTAGCCTCCATAATCAAATATACGTGCATGGGGTCTGTCCTTAACGTACGTATTATCTTAGCACTAGAGGACTAACAGTTTATAGACATCGATTTAAAAGGTAACGAGCCTCCGGATCGTCATTGGAACGATGATAAAATAGATGATTTCTACAAAGGTCCAAATGTCCAATGCTCAAATGGTTTTCTGACAGTAAAATTTGTTACGTGGTAAATTAAGATAATTCATGTCCATAGTGGAGTTTAAATTTCCTTTTAGATTTTCTTGTGTCACATCTCACATGCATGTGGTAAACAAGGTTAGGTAAAATGCATTTTTGTGGATCATCACCATTTCTCAGGTGCAAGAATCAGAGCTGCGTGAGAATGACTGGCTGCAACTATTATTGGAAATCGCCTTCTTCTCCAAAGCAAATCGTGTAAGTCCTTAGAATTTGCAATTATTCTACTTCTCTGCCAGAAAAAAATAAAATAAAGCAAGTCAACTTTTCTCTATTTTTTTTTTTAATAACTTGTTGTTGCCTCTTCCCCTCTTACGCGTTGCCAAAACTGTAATTGCAGCGATTGAGGGCTTCCCTACCGTTGGAGATGAAGAAGGTAGTTGTAGAAAATAGAGAAGAATACACAACAGAGGCGCGTGAGAAGCTCAAGGCAGATAACGCAATCTTCAACGCGTTGGGCTGGTTATCACGAAGCCATTATAAGCCATCATTAAGATAGTTAAATGTGTTACGTGGTCCACACCGCTGGAGATGAAGAAGGTATTTGCTGAAACTGTAATCAAAACCATGAATATAAAAACACTAAGGAGGTGTTATTGGTTCTTGTATTTTAATGGATTCGAGAATCCAAACCAAATTCAGTGTTATTGGTTCTTGTATTTTAAAATTTATATTGAAATACAGTGTTATTGGTTCTATGATTTTAAAATCCATAATGAAATACAGTGTTATTGGTTCTATCATTTTAGAATCTAAATATTATAAGGATTTGAGTTTTAATTGAATTTGAATGGATTTGGAAGGATTTTCATGACTAAAATATAAAGACCCAAATACAAGGTCTAACTTTGGTATTTGAGTGGATTTGATTTTTTTTCCATTTTGTTGATTTTGAAATCAATAAATTTATCAAATCCAAAAAGATTTATAACCAAAATACAAGAACCAATAACTCCTACTAAGTCATTATAAAAATCCACCCTTCTACACGTTGGGCTGGTTATCACGAAGCCATTATAAGGAAAACCATGGATGGCATACCACGGCACATGTGTCTTGAAGTTGCTTTGACTAAAGAACAGGAGTAAGTTCATTAGACAGACACATATGATGTTCCTTATATTGGCAGTAAACTTTAAAAAAAATTGATATTTCTCTTTCTCAACCATAACATAATTGTCTCCAGCTACCTTATACATTCTCAATATTAGAACATGCATTTACGTCGCCAGCTAATTACTTGTTCAAATTGGAATTAACTGATGAATTCAATGTATAAGCTGCCTGCAACTTCAACATTGAATATGATTCACTTAAACATGCGTACATGATTGATCTATGAGTTGGATCATACAAAATACATACTTATTTGGTATTAAATTCTTCTGCCCAAGTGCAACGAGGTTGCCTTTCGGCCTCAAGCTCCTCTCTGGTTCGCTTTCTTGGATTCTCCTGGGATAGATGCTCCAACACCTTAACCTCGAGGCGCATGTGTCCTGGTTTCCCATCCATCGTCTTCCTTACAACCGCTTTATAATAACCGATCTCACCTGTTTCTGGATCCTCATCACATTCAAAGCTTAAGTAGAAGATTGCATTGGGGGCCTTGAGCTTATCACGCGGCTCAGTCTCAGTCTCAGCTTCTCCTAGGGTTTCCACAAACACTTGTCGAAGCATCAATGGTGGGAACAAAGCAATATCGCCCACCCAGACCGATGCCTTCCATTTCGTGTAGAAGGCAAGCTCAGTGAAGAGAGGCAGCCACCAATTGTCCACGTCCACCAGCTCAGGTACTCGAAACTACAACAAGACGTCAATAACAAGACATAGACTTGGTCAAGAATATATATTGAGTACAAGATATATAACTCATACTTACCACATAGCACCGTTGCTTATCGTCATCAGAGAGCCATCTGGGCATTTCACCTTTGTAGTCATCTTTTACTGCTTTATCGTCCCACTCATGATCAGCCAATTCTTCGCTACCTTTATAATTATCATCAAAAGTGAGTCCTTCTGAATGGTGTAACTATATGCTACACGAATGGTTTAACTAGTTTACCTTTCACACGGCAAATGCAAGTCTCCCACCTTAGTCTCACGCCGTCTGTAGCTCCTCCATCGTTACGGGTAACGCAAGTCTCAATAGTGAGTGGAGATCTGCCGCCGTATCGATCCACTGCCTCCAGTGTTATGAAAGACTTGCTCCATGTTAGGACAGACTCGTTGATGGAATGAAGCCACCGCTTGTAGGACTTTTTCACAGAGCCAAAATGGTAATCTTCGCCCTACGCGAGAGAAGAGAAAGTTAGACAGAGTTGATAAGTCTGACATTGATACGATGAGAAAGTTAAGACCGAGGGTGATAACACTCAAACTCTGACATAGATAAAGTGTGCGAGGTAAAACAAAAAAACCTCCTGAAAATTGTAACAATAGAGTCCAATCCTAGCGCAGAGGCTGATGTCATAAGGGCAGCACCGACGCTTTATCTTCTGAGCCAATTCAAAACCCTAGGGCAGGCGCACAACATAGCGAAGAAGAAACAAGAGATTGCTAGAGAGATTACAAGATGGAAATATTCAAGTACGATGGTTCAAAAAGATAGAAATGGAGACAAAGATCTTACCTTGGAATCATCTGAAATGAATCCGTTGTGGGTTTTGTAATCAAAAACGTCGACAGGTGACTCCTGGACTTCCAGGAGTTGATGGTCTGCCCGCAGCTACATCGGGAAAAATCAAGAGAAATAAAATTTGAGCCAATCCAGCAAGGAGTAAATCAATGGAGAAACCTAATGATCTGGAGCCGAACATTATGATGAATGAAAATCATTAAATATTGAAAAAGGGAGACAAGTGTTTCACCTTCTTGATAAGCAGAGCAAACTCAGGATCACGCATACTTTTCCTACCATCATCGAATGGCGGTGACTCTTCCCCGATTCCCGTCTCATCCCCATCATCATCATCATCGCATGGCGGCGACTCTTCCCCGATTCCCGTTTCATCCCCATCATCTATACTTTTTCTATCATCATCATCATCGCATGGCGGCGACTCTTCTCCGATTCCCGTCTCATCCCCATCGTCTATACTTTTTCTATCATCATCGTAAGGCGGCGGCGGCGGCGGCTCTTCCCCGATTCCCGTCATATCCCCAAATTTACTTATCTTGTCAAACCCTAATCTCTCATATCGCAGGAGAAGCCCTATATATCGACAACAATCAATTGTTTCTCGCACAAGTATTCAATTTTTTTGTATGGCTAAAACGACGCCGTATTGACTGACCTAGCTAGAGAGCGTCGAACCATTTATTTTTTACCGTGATATTCTGAAACTGTTGAGATCTGTGGATTGAGAGATTTAGGGCTTGGCTAGAGTTATGGCGGAAGAAGCATCCGAGCTGAGGCCTCCACGTCGTCTAATAGGAGTGGAATCAAAGCGAAAGAAGCTGAAATTGCAGGAGCAGCGTGAACGGTTGTATGGGGACAGGGATGAGGATGATGATGATTCAGACGATGCCGAAAGGGATGAAAGCGTGTCCTATGTACGTAATCCCTCTCTCCCGATTCCTAATTTCCTGGTGTTTGTATATCGATTTCTTGATTTCATGGGACGTCGTTTGGATTTTCAAGTTGATAAATTCATTTCTTGGCCTTTGTAGTGGTTTGATTTGAATGTCGGTAACCGCAAACGATTGATCTCCACTTGGGGAGATAATTATGAGATCGACCTTTTTGGTAGGCTTGGACTCCACTGCTACAATCTTCAAAAGGTGAAGACAATATGTTATTGTTCATGAGTTTCTCTTTATTTCTATGGAGTTTGCCTTGTGATTGTTTTGCTTTGACAGGGAACAAACTTGAAGTTTGTGCGCTGGGAAAAACATGGCATTGAAAGTACTGCACACGTCAGGAACTTCATAACTTTGGAGGCAAAAGATGAGGTCTCTGATTCGCTCTTGTCTTTTCAGACGATGTTAAGCGATGCATCATATGTACCCGGTTCTTTTAAGTGGACGACATGTGCCTGCAGACTCAGAGGTAAGATTACTACCATTTGCGTGGGTCTGTCTTTACCCATATGTCTTATTATATTCTGGTTTATAGACAACACTAGAGAAGAGAGCTAACTGTTTATAGGTAACACGTTTTAAAAGGCAACGAGAGAGTGGATGATACATGGGACGACAAGGCAGTAGCTGATTTCTACAAAGTTGCAATGCCCAAGTGGTCGTCTGTTGAACACTTGGCAAGTGAGAATCTCAAGTATTACGTGGTAAGATGTGTCCTGCGTTTTGACTCTGCAGCATCGATCTTCTTGTACCTGTGAAATGTTAACTAATACACTATGTAATATATTTCTTTGGTTCATCACAGGTGCAAGATTCAGAGCTGCAGGAGAATGACTGGCTGCATCTATTCACCGAAATAGCCTTCTACGCAAAAAAGAGGAGGGTAAGTTGTTAAATTGCACAATTATTCTCTGCCAAACATATTTATATATATAAAAAAAAAAGTTAGAATGCGAACTTTTTCTTTTGCAGTTATTGCCTGCTTCCCCGCCTGTGGAGATCGAGAAGGTGGTCGTAGTAACTGAAGAAGACACAGCAGATGCGCGTGAGAAGCTGAGGGCGAAAAATGCGGTCTTCTACATTAGTTACAAGTGCGAAGACGAAGACCACAAAGCGACAATAAGGAGAACCATGGATGGGAAACCAGAACACATGCGTCTTGAAGTTGCTTCGGATTTCAAAGGATGAAGAGATCACATAGAGACGTATCCATCTTCTCACTTTAAGATAATGTTATGCACGATCTTGTCTTTGGCTTGTGTTTATGTCTAAAACGCTTTTGGACTATTAGCGCTTTCTGTTAAGCATTGCATTTTAGTTGTATGAGAACCAAAATTACACACGTTGTCCCAACTCCCAGAGGTGAGTTCTCTCTATAACGTACGTGTGTATCTTATATAACATAGTTTACACAATAAAGCATCATTCACATGCATTTACAGAGCACATGGTTTGTTTGGCAATTGCTTCAAACTAGTATAAAGCCTGAGATAACATCCAAAGATCGACTCCACATTTAAGATACACACGTACGTTGTGTAAACTATGTTATTTATTTTACTTAGTTTCGACCGTGATTATACTTTTGAAACCTTAAATAAGATCTTAAAAAATGGCTAAGGAAGTGAAACACGAAAACGGCTGAGTTTTGTTCCCATCATCTTCTTTTGTTTTGTCGACTTAAGTTTTTGTTCCCATCTCTTAAAAGTTTGTATTTATGTTTAAAAATACATGGTTATGTTTCGTGAAAGCTGTCAATAATCAACAGATAGTTCTACACCTTAGCAATTCTGATTTCCAAATATTCCAGATTTTTTTATAAAAATATAAAAGAGAGAAAAATATGTTAATATATTATATCGTTGGAGAGTATGCCACGTAGTGCTACTTGAATCCTCTATAAATTCATTGTCGTTGTACTGCTAAACCCTACATCAAAAAAAAAAACATATCTTCCCACTTCAAAAGTTCTTCCCTTTTCTGGTAATAAAGAGATCAATTTTTTTCTTTTCTTTTCTTCTTCTACACACTTCCAGATTTTTCCCAGCAAACGTACCGGAAATAAGAAAGACAGTATATAGACGCAAAAGGGGTCTCTGAGAATTTGAGCAAACAAAAAAAATAGAAGCGAAAATGTGTTTGGAGATTGTGTATCACGAGGAGACGACGGAGCTTGGTCGGCAACAAGCACCGGGGGTGTGTCCGTACTGTGGCGGGAAAGTATCGGCGGTAGACATCGAGACTAAGTGGTTGTTCTGTTTCTTACCACTCTGTTTCAAGGTCAAACGCAAGTACTCGTGTTCTTCCTGCGACCGTCGTCTCGTCTTGTACTATTGAAACAACGAAGAGATCAGTGAGAGGGAGAGAGAGAGAGAGAGAGAGAGACCAAATGAAGCAAGAAACAGAGATGAATTGAAAAACTATTGTCTATTTATTTATTTGTTTTGATCCTCTCAATGTTGAGGTTTTTGCAGATTTTCCCCTGTAATTTCTGATTGGCTAAACACGCCCCTGATGGTGGTGGCATTGGTTGATTTCATTGAGTTTTGTTCAGTGTAAATAAATTGTCGGTTCTGTTTCGTTGATTACATGAGTGGAATACAAACTTTTTTCTAATAAAAATTTCTCAAATAAAAAAAGTGAATTTGTTTATTATTCCTTATGTTCATTACAATGATTAATAACTCCCACCTCTTTGTATGATTTGCGATAATAACCCGAGGCAACAACGTGGAACCATAGATAAACGTCAGCACCATAATAGTGTGGTTTCTGTTTTACTCATGAAATGTGGAGACAAGTGAACATCAGAAAATTCGAGGAGTCTTGAAGTAAAAAATAGACCATGTTTCACTTTTTACCGCGAGATCCAACTGAAGATATATATTAGATAAACATTGAAGATTACAATTTATTTGAGTGATTGATATCTGATACGAGCGTTTCTGTATATGAATGGGGCCAAAGTTTTGCTGTACGTCTTAGCTGGCCTGACATGATATAGACAAAATAAATTAAATAAATTGTTGTGGTTCCGGAAATAATCAGATGGCGTCTTCGAAGATTCAGAAAGATATTGTGCATTGTTTTGCAGAAGAGCTAGTCAAACATATTATTGAAGATATTGATCATGATGTTTTTGGTTTGCTGGTAGATGAATCAGCAGATATTTTTGATAAAGAGCAGATGGCAGTAGTGTTTCGATTTGTCGATAAGAAGGGGATAGTCAAAGATCGATTCATAAGTGTTATGCATGTGAGCGAGACATCTTCAGCTACTTTGAAATCTGCTATTGATTGTTTATTTGCTAAGCTTGGATTAAGCATGAAAAAGCTGAGAGGACAAGGCTATGATGGGGCGAGTAATATGAAAGGAGAATTTAATGGGCTAAGAGCGTTAATCTCCAAGGAAAGCACATCAGCATATTATATCCATTGTTTTGCTCATCAGCTTCAATTGGTTGTTGTGGCAGTTGCCAAAAAACACTTTGATGTTGGAGACTTTTTTGATATGATTTCTCTATTACTGAATGTGGTGGGAGCTTCGTGTAAGAGGAAATATATGCTTCGAGAGAGTCATAAAGAAACTATTGAAAAGGGAGTTGATGATGGTGAAATCAGTACTGGAAAAGGATTAAATCAAGAGGTTTCTCTTCAAAGACCAGGAAACACTTGTTGGGGATCTCACTATAAAACTCTGTTGCGTTTGGTTGAGATGTTTTCTTCTATTATCACAGTACTTAAGTGTGTGAATGAAGGGGTAGAAGATTTAAAAAGACGTCAAGCACATGGTCTTCTCAGATACTTCCATAGCTTTGATTTTGTGTTTTATTTGCAGTTGATGCTACACCTTTTAGGACTCACTGATTGTTTGTCCATGACTCTGCAAAAAAGAGATCAAGAAATCTTGAATGCTATGTCATTGGTGAAATCAACTAAGAGACAACTGCAGAAGTTTAGGGATGATGGATGGGATTCTCTCATGGTTAAAGTTTCTTCTTTCTGCGAGAAACATGAGATTGAAAAGCTTGACATGGAGGAAGATTTCATTGACTCAAGGAAACCAAGAAAAAAATCAGGAGTTACAAATATGCATCATTACAAGGTCAATTGTTTGAATGCTGTTTTAGATTTGCAGCTTCAAGAGTTTAACAATCGCTTCAATGAGGTGAACACTGAACTGCTTATTTGTGCTGCTGCTTTATCTCCCATTGATTCGTTCTCTCAGTTTGATGAGTCGAAGTTGATGAAGTTATCTACGTTCTATCCATACGACTTTAGTCCTGGAGAATGCATATCTCTTGAGCAACAGTTAGATATCTACATTGACAATGTTCGAAATGATGAAAGATTTAGTCACTTGAAGTATCTTGGGGAACTTGCACGTACGCTGGTAGAAACACGAAAACATATGTCATATCCTTTGGTCTACAAACTTTTGAAGTTGGTTTTGATTTTGCATGTTGCTACTGCAACTGTTGAGAGATGTTTTTCTGCAATGAAGATCGTGAAGACGGATCGACGCAATCGGATTGGAGATGAGTTTTTGAATGACTGTTTAGTTTGTTATGTCGAGAAAGATATATTCGAGACAATTACAAATGAAACTGTGATCAAAAGATTTCAAGATATGAAAGATCGTAGAGTAGTTTTGTAATATGTTTCTTATTTCTATGAACTTTTTATATTTTTATATTTAGAATTTTTTTTTTACCTTGGTTAAAAAAATTTCTAGGACCACCACTGCCTTCAGTGATTGTTCCAAATATGACAAGTCATTGTTGACTGGCCTTGATTCATGCGTACTACGGTTGCGAACAGGATTGAGTTATTGGTTAGTGAGCTTGATTCTAGAACGTGATTGGCTAGCTCTGAATCAGACAATGCCTGATTTATGATTCGACATTTAACATGAATCCGTGATTAGAATCGTATCTGATTGTCAATGCTCCAAGTTGGAGAGTATCTGGGACCAAGAATTAGAACCATCACATACCAAAACTACTGTATTGAGCAAGTCAACATGATCTAAAAAATATCTGTAATAATAAGTTTTACTCACAAAATTGCAGTCAAACATTTGTTGTTCAAACATAGATGTAATTGGTAAATACTTGTATTTGCAAAATATAGTCATCTCGTAATTCTATAAATCTCCCCTAAGTTGTCTCCCAATTTTTCATATCTATCAACTAAAATCACTCTTACAAGTAATTAATTTAAGAGAACAAAGAAAAAGAACAGATATGGCCAAGGCAGTTTCTTCTCTTGTTTTCCTATCATCTTCCTTGTGATGTTTGCTTTAGGTATACATTTACATTAACGTTTAATCATAGCAATATATAAAAAGTTTTTAATTTATTCTAATCTTCATTTTGGCTTTTATTCAGTGGTATATATCATTAAATGTTCTAGTTCCATCTATCGATTTTTCGTAAGCACTAAAACTTAATATTGTTTTTGTAATCTAAATATATAAAATTGGTTTTGTTTGATATAATATAGTTGAGCCAAATATGGGATGTGTGGCTGCTGTTGGCACGTGCAAAGTTTACGATTGCAATGGACAATGTCAGGAAAGATATGGAAATGCAGCAAGTGGCAGCTGTGACCACCAGATGGCCGGTGGTCATGGATTATGTATGTGCTCTTACCCTTGTCCGGAAGATAACATCCGTATATGATCTCTGTACGATTTAGATCTCAAATTCGTCAATATAGAAAAAGTAAAAATAAAATAATCAGAATAATGTAAAAGTTGTAAAATTGTATTTCCGATCAGACTTTTATATCAATAAAAATTATTATTTTTTTGTGCAAATCAATAAAGATTACTTATGATAGAGAAAAATGCTAGTTATGGTTTTCAACACAGCAAATAATAATTCGCTAGTTTTGGATGTTGGTCGTAGAGATTAGAAGTAAAGTAAAAACCATATTATGTTTCACAAAATGAAACAAAATTCTTAAAACTTAAGGTTTTTTAGAATTTCGTGACAAGAGAGAACTTCGCTTATTTCCAAATGTGTGAAGTGTTAACAATCACCTATTCATAATTTTTTATATAAATTAACATGTCTAATCTTTTTTCATCCTTAGCTTTCCGACCGAGTTGAAAGACTGCTCTTCATCATGCAAGTCGATGTATGGGGGTAATAGCCATCGGTTCATGCGATAAAGGGAATGATGTTGAACAGTGTAATTGTATTTTAAGAGAGAAAAAAGTTCATGTTAACACACACTCTTACGTCGGCTATGTGATACAGGATGCACTGTTACGTTAGACGAACACATAGCTACAGACACGTTCTCCGGTCAGCTAGAACAGAACATCGGCCGTCCCAATAAATTCTCTTGCACTGAGTCTCTAAAAACATTCTCTTGAGTGATTGGGTCCATCCATAAACTCATAAACCCATAACTCTTCATTTTTGTTTTTCAGGCGGTTCTGTCATGGGCATGCCTACTAACTTTTGGAGCAATAAAGTTCCTTCACTGGTCAAAACTCTTTCCTCATGGAAAGGAATCGCGTTATCGGCGCTTAATCAAAACTCTATATTACATTATCGTCATGTCATCATACATCATGTGGTATCTCGATTTTGCTATCGTAGCAAGGAAAACGATAGATATTAGTAATGGATCTAACTCACACCCAAAAGCTAGCTCAAGACTGGAGGATTGCCTCACACTATATATATTGTCCACAAATCTCCCAAACTTCCGATGTGGGACAATTCCAACACGCCTCATCACGCTCAGAATTCTAAGTCTGAAGCGTGGAGTATAATCACGAGTAGAGGCCATAATCAGGACAGTTGAGTATAACCTAGGTTCTGATACCATATTAGTAATTGGCCTAATTCACACTCAAAAGCTAGCTCAATAGTGGAGGATTGCCTCATACTATATATATTGTCCAAAAATCTCCCAAACTTCCTATGTGGGACAATTCCAACAATAGATAATCTCTTGAAAAGCCTTCTCGTGAATCTGTGATGTAAAACTCTTATAATCAATGATACCAACATCCATAAGAACCAAAATAAATAAGCAATATGATTATTTGAAAAATCCCATTTATACTAAAGAATATTACAGATGAACATTAAGACAAAGTAGTTACCGTAATACTTATGAATAAGGTGGTTTTCACTCAATTTAAAATAAGTGAAGTTCTATATTATAAAAAAACGTAATTATAGGAGACTTCAGTTTTAGTCTTGTTTTGGTCTTAGTAATTTGTGAGGCGATACGAATAAAGTTATTATCGTTTTAACTCTTATAACCAAAATCCAACTTTAGATCGAGAGTTCTGTCAGAGAGAGCGAGAGAGTATTTGTAGGTTTTTCTGTGAAGTTTTTTTTTTGTTTAGCTAGGGTCATTTTTGTCATTTAATGTTTAATCTGGATTATTTAAATCCAACCATTTAATTAGATACATCCAACTGATTTAATTAGATCTATCCAACTGAATTTTACAAATTTATCTAAATTTCACAAATTTATCAAAATGAACCATCTGTCTCGGTGTCTCCTGCTCTGTTAACTATAATATTGTGATGATATAAATGTATTGTTATTTTTGGTTTCATTAAACATATAATCATTTAATTTCAACTCAAAAAGGTAAAATTAATATGTCGATCTTATAACATGTATAATGGTCGACCGTCTATTACAAAAACTCGGATAGAAATTTAATTACATATTGAGTCAGATTGGATGGGTTTAAATCACAACAATTTGGGAAAATCTTTAACTAATCGAATCCTTTAGTGGTTGTTCCAAATATGATAAACTCATTGTTGAACGGCCCTGATTCATAAAAACTATTATTGAGTCATTAGTATAAGTAAAGTTTGATCGTCAATGGTCCAAGTTAGAGAGTATCTAGAACCGATAATTAATTAGATACCTCACATATTAAAACTACTGTATTGAGCAAGTCAACATAGCATAAGTGGTATGTATCTGTAATAATTAATAAGTTTTACTCAGTCAAACATGTTTTTACAATCGTTACACATCTGAAATAATTACCCAGAAACTTAACAAATTGAAGAATTTGAGATCTCAAAAAAATTAATAAGCTTTAATGGTAAATAATTGTATTTGCAAAACTTAGTCATCTCGTAATTCTATAAATCCCCCTTTAGTTCCATACCATTTTTTCATATAAGTAATTAATTTAAGAGAAGAAAGAAAAAGAACAGCTATGGCCAAGGCAACTTCTTCTCTTGTTTTTCCTATCAACTTCCTTGTGATTTTTGCTTTAGGTATACATTTTCCTTAAGGTTTATTCATTGCAATTTTTTAACAGTTTTTACAGATATAATTTATTATAATTTTAATTTTTGCTTTATTCATTGGTATATATCATAAATGGTTTAGTTCCATGTATTGGTTTTCCGTAAGCTCTAATATAGTTTGTAATTTAAATATATAAAATTGGTTTTTGTTTGATTATATAGTTCAGCAAATGGCAGCATGCGGGGCTATTATTGGCTCGTGCCGTGACATTCCCAATTGCGATGGGTCATGCAAGGCTAAGTTCGGAATAATTGCAAGTGGCTACTGTGACCATGTTCCAGTGGGATATGGAGCTTGTATTTGCTCTAAACCTTGTCCAAAAGATAAAATTCTTATATAATTTAGGTACGAATTTGAGATCTCAAAGAATTTGTGTAAAAGTAGGAATTTATATTCAAAATAATGTAATAGTCGTAAAATAATATTTCCGATCAAACTTTTTATATCAATAAAAATTACTTATGATAAAGAAAAATGCTAGTAATGGTTTTTGACCCAAAAATTAATTCGCTAATTAATTCTGGATGTTAAAAGTAAAATAATGCCATTCACATTAAAACCCGATAATGTCTCACAAGATGAAACAAAAAACAACTATAAAGCTTAAAACATAGGGTTTTTAGAATTATTACGTGACAAGAGAGAACCATTTTCTTATAAATTAACATGTCTAATTGGTCTTATCTTTTTCATCCTTACCTTTCCGAGCGAGTTGAAAGACTGCTCTTCATCATGCAAGTCGAAGTATGGGGGTAATAGCCTTTGGTTCATGCGATAAAGGGAATGATGTTGAACAGTGTAATTGTATTTTAAGAGAGAGAAAAGTTCATGTTAACACACACTTTCACGTCGGCTATGTGATACAGGATGCACTGTTACGTTAGACAAACACATAGCTACAGACACGTTCCCCGGTCAGCAAGAACAGAACATCGGCCGTCCCAATAAATTCTCTTGCAGTGAGTCGCTAAAAGCATTCTCTTGGGTCCATTCATAAACTCATAAACCCACATATATCTTCATCTTTTGTTTTTCAGGTGGTTCTGTCATGGGCATGCCTAGGGCCGGCCTTGGGCCCCCAAATTTTTTTACTTTTTTAGTATTAAAAATAAGCCCTAAAAAAAATTAATTGCAATAAAATATATTTAAATATTTTAAAATCTAATATTTTTTAGATTTAATTCATTTTTTGCTCTAGCCGCAAAATTTTCAGGGCCGGCCGTGGGCATGCCTACTAACTCTTGGAGTAATAAAGTTCCTTCACTGGTCAAAACCCTTTCCTTGTGCAAAGAAATGGCGTTATCGGCGCTTGATCCAAGTTCTATATGCCATCATCGTCATGTCGTCATACATCATGTGGTATCTCGATTTTGTTATGGTAGCAAGGAAAATGATAGATAATCTCTTGAAAAGCCCTCTCATGAATCCGTTATGTAAAACTCTTATAATGAATGATACCAACATCTTTTACCAAAAACAAAATGATTTCAACATCCCATATTACACTGACGAAACAAGCAATATGATTATTTAAAAAAAATCCCATTTATATATACTAAAGAATATTACACAAGAACATTTAGACAAAGTAGTTACCGTAATACTTATGAATAAGGTGGTTTTCACTCTATTTAAAATAAGCGAAGTTCTGTCTTATAAAAAAACGTAATTATAGAAAACTTCAGTTTTAGTCTTGTTTTGGTCTTATTAATTTGTGAGGCGAATTTTACTTTGATACAAATAAAGTTATTATAGTTTTAACTCTTATAATTAAAATCCAACTTTAAATCGAGAGTTCTGTCAGAAAGAAGGAGAGAGGACTTGTAGGTTTTTCTGTGAAGTTTTTTTTGGTTTAGCTATAGTCGTTTTTTTTTTAACCATTTTTTTAGCTAAGGTCATTTTTGTCAATTTAAATTTTAAACTAGATTATCTAAATGCAACTGATCCAATTTGATCAATCCAACTGAATTATACAAATCTATCTAAATTAAATCTTATATAGGAAAAACGAATATGACAATTAGCACTGTCCGTCCATATGTCATACAATCTGTACTTGGATTCCTTTTTGTATTCGTCAATCTATCTTTCTCCCCAAAAGAGAGATTTTAATAAATAATTAAACAAATATAACTATAACAAATGTTGGAAAAGACCGTTAATACGATCAACGATATAGGGTGTGCCGTTTTATAATGGTGGACATGGATAGTGTCAATTTGTGCTAATGCAAATACTCTCTCTTGCTAGAGATCGGTTGAGGAAACTGTGTAAATGAGTTGATTTTCTTTCATTAATTTAATTATCATATTGCGATGATATATAAAATTCTTGTTATTATTATTATTGGTTTCATTAAACATATAATTATTTAATTTCAACTCGAAAAAAGTAAAATTAATTTATTGATCTTATAACATGTTAAATGGTCGACCGTCTATTCCAAAAACTCGAATAGAAATTTAATTATACATATTAAGTCAAATTGGATGGGTTTGAATCACACCAAATTGGGAAAATCTTTAACTGATCGAATCGTTTAGTGATTGTTCCAAATATGGTAAACTCATTGTTGACTGGCCTTGATTTACGAATACTATTATTGAGTCATTAGTATATAAGTAAAGTTTGACCGTCAATGGTCCAAGTTAGAGAGTATCTAGGACCAAGAATTAGAACCCTCACAATACCAAAACTACTGCATTGAGCAAGTCAACATGACATAAGTGATATGTATCTGTAATAATTAATAAATTTTACTCACAATATTGCAGTCAAACATGCTTTTGCAATCATTACAGATCTGAAATAATTAATAAGTTTTACCCACAAAATTAACAAATTGACGAATTTGAGATCTCAAAAAATTAATGAGCTTTAATGGTAAAGAATTGTATTCGCAAAACTTAGTCATCTCGTAATTCTATAAATCCCCTCTTAGTTGCATCCCAGTTTTTCATATCTATCAACTAAAATCACTTTTATAAGTTTATTTAAGAGAAGAAAGAAAAAGAACAGCTATGGCCAAAGCAACTTCTGTTCTTGTTCTTCCTATCATCTTCCTTGTGATGTTTGCCTTAGGTATACATTTACCTTATGGTTTATTCATGGCAATATTTAAATGTTTTTACAGATATAATTTATTATAATTTTAATTTTTGCTTTATTCATTGGTATATATCATAAATGTTCTAGTTCCATGTATTGGTTTTTCGTATAAGCACTAATATTGTTTGTAATTTAAATATATATAATTGGTTTTTGTTTGATTATATAGTTCAGCAAATGTCAGCATGTATGGCTGTTATTGGCTCGTGCCGTGACATTCGCGATTGCGATGGGACGTGCAAGAGTAAATTTGGAATAGTTTCAAGTGGCTACTGTGACCATGTTCCAGTGGGATATGGAGCTTGTATTTGCTCTAAACCTTGTCCAAAAGAGAAAACTCTTACATAATTGATGTACGAATTTGAGATCTCAAAGAATTTGTGTAAAAGTAGAAAAATATATTCAAAATAGTGTAATCGCCGTAAAATAATATTTCCGATCGAACTTTTCATATCAATAAAAATTACTTATGATAAAGAAAAATGCTAGTAATGGTTTTTAACCCAAAAAGTAATTCGCTAATTCTGGATGTTAAAAGTAAAATAATCTCATTCACATTAAAACCAGATAATGTCTCACAAAATGAAACAAAACAACTACTATAAAGCTTAAAACTTAGGGTTTTTAGAATTATTACGTGACAAGTGAGAACCATTTTTTTATAAATTAACATGTCTAATTGGTCTTATATTTTACATCCTTACCTTTCCGACTTACGACTGCTCTTCATCATGCAAGTCGATGTATGTGGGTAATAGCCATTGGTTCATGCGATAAAGGGGATAAAGTTCATGAAGTAAGAAGTTCTAATCCTCAGACAGAATAAGCCAAATGTCAAAATACGTATGTTTTCTACGTATTAAATGCTTTGTATCTCCTAGTATTTGTACGGCATCAGCGGCTGAAATTCATGTTCTCTTTGATTGTTCAGCATCACATTATGTAAACCATGAACATGCAGCGATACTTAGCTTTTGATATCACAATAATGATAACTTGCTTATTACTACCATACAAGTATAAAATAAGAAAAAGAAAACGGTTTTATTTATTCCAAAAGACATGAGAACGAATTTAGCAAGGATATTGGCATTTGCACAATAAACTATGGTCAAGGTTCTCACAGAATCCAACTCCACCAGGATACTTTTGCGCACAGCTTTGATTGCAACACTGGTTCCCACATGTGGTGCTGCAAAAGCCAGCCCCGCCAGTGCATTGTTTGGATGGTGGAGATGGTGAAGGCGGCCCGCACGTGTAACGGCACGTGCATAGTTGATACCTGTCGCAACTGCTTTCGGCCGTTGGTCCGTGTTTGGCTTTGCATCTCTCATCACATTGGTTACAAATACCTAGACCCTCCTCGCATATATCTGCCTTCACCTTATTTCCAACTGTAAACGAGTATGTATGATTAACCTCTTTTAGTATAGGAAGAAAAAAGAAATCGTTCTTATAGACATTTGAATCTATGACAAGTAGCAGAAAGCAAAACATATTCCCACCAAAATTATATTCATTGTAAGCCGAGAAATTTGATGTAAATTATATATATATATATATATATATATATACATATATATTATTGGATCGAACTCTACAATATTTTTTTGCATTGTATTTTATACTAGGAATATGCATTTGAAGAGCAAGAATACTGTACAGAAATATTAACAACTTAATTTGGAGATAAGAACTTAAAGATTATGTACGGATTAATTTGTTACTTTTAGTGTTTGATAAACATATATAAGAGATATAAAACATTTTGAACTATCTAGTTATATTTTTTTGGTTTTCATTTTTTTTTTTTTTGGTTTTATTATCTACTCCCTCCGTTCCAGAATGTATAATGTTTTAGATGTTTCACAGATATTAAGAAAATAATGATTATTTATTTTTTTAAAGTACTTTTTGTTTGTTTATTAATTTAATACTAATTTTTTATACGTTTTTACCTAAAAAATTATCTTAGAAACAGAAATATATTAAATATAATATAGAAAATCAATCTTTGTGGAACAAAATGAAAAAACTCAAAACATCATACAATATGAAACGGAGGAAGTACGTTATATTAAGATACCGTGCGTGCTGTTCTCCATCATTTTATCGGAGAGACGTTAGTGCGTAAAGCATTAAAATATTGGCTATTTCATAGTTAGAAAGTCCCAAATATTAACAGCCTAATTAACTGAACAAGATCAAAGAAAGAATACCGAAAGAAAACATGATAGATAAGATGATAAAAACCACAGAGTGTGATTTCTTCATTGTTTTTAGTTTTGTTTTTCTTCGACAATTTGTTGAGCCGATATTAGATTATCATAGAACATTTAGTTGGTCTATATAATGCACCCCAAACAATATTTATTAATATATTACCAAAAAAGATCATTACTATTTATGGAGCATCATTGAAACATCCAATAAATCCTCATTTAATTTAATTATGGAAATAGTCAAAGTTTATTTATCATAGAGTACATCATTGAAACATCCAATAAATCCTCATTTAATCCTCATTACTATTTAGTCAAAGTTTATTTGAGAATTTCATTTCAATCCTCAAAACATTAAATTACTATTATTAGGAGTTGTTATTCAATTATGGATTTTAACATAATTCATATTACTTCACAATTCAATGTTATTCAACTAATGATTTTAAACTATTTCTTAAAATCCAGTGTTATTGAATATTTTATTTGTAAATCATATTTAAAAGATTTTTTTTGTTGAAAAAAAAAATTAAAAGATTTTAATATTTAGTGTTATTCAATTAAGATTTTAATTATGTACTATACGAAAATCCAGTGTTATTTGAAAACATAATTCAAACTTCCAAATGAGTCATAAATGATTAAGTGGATTTCTATATACTAAAATCCATTTGTTTGTTAACATCCATTATAAAATGATTAAACTTCCAAATGAGCCATAAATGATTAAAAGAGCCACACATTGTTTGTTGACATCCACTATTATTAGTTTAACGTTATACATTGTTTGTTTGACATCCATTATCGTGTTATTTTCGTTTGTATATCTAAAATTCACCTAACTCTTTTTGAACGACAAATTCACCTCATTTCTAATCTATATACGTATACTACAAGTTAGATCACTTCTTGCACACAAAAGAACTAACTATAATTCACTATTAGATCATTTGAATAACTTTTGTTGCGCATTATATCTGCGTTTATGCATGATGCAAATAGATCTAACTAAATATTTTTTTTAGAATGTATAAGCGATAGTCAAACTTCTTATATTTGCGAAGTAGTAGATGCTTTGTTTCTGGCAATGTTTTGTTGAAAAATCGTTAACTTCTACAACGTTTTACATACGAATTAAAAAAAAATGTCACAGTACGAATATGTTGGCATTCACACGTCTTCCATTAAAACTGAAAATAATTTTGATCGGTTTCACTGATTTATTTCATTTATTCCAAAAAAAAAACATTACAAACAAACAAAAAATTAGCAAGGATATCGGCATTTGCATAAATTAGATTCACAAAATCCAGATCCACCAGAGTAGTATTTTCCACAATTATCATTGCATGCACTGCCGCACTTAATGCCAGGTCCGCCAGGCCCACCAGGCCCGCCATAGCACTGTTTGGGCTGCGGAGGTCCTTGTGACGGGCTGCACACGTATTCACACGTGCATAGATGGTTTCCACCGCAAATGCCTCTCCCAAGTGACCCGTATTTATTCGTGCATCTATCTTTACAAAATAGACAACCACCTAGAGGTTCTTGGCATAGCTTTGCGTTCACTTTACTTCCAACTGTAAAAGAGTTTTCTTAGTGTAGGCAAAATATTTGAATCTATGGCTCTTAGCAGGAAAAAAAAAACACTTATTTAAAGAAAAATATACTGTAAAACACGTTAATTTTGGAAGTACCAACTTCAGAGATTATGAGGAGACAGTACACTAAGTAGAATAAACATACAAAAATATAAACCAAATAATATAAGCAGAGCAATGTGATGCGTGCAGTTCAATTATTAATAATATATTATATATGTAATAAAACGGTAGAAGAATTTGGCTACATGTAACTCAATTTATCAAGCATGTTATCAAAATGGTCCCTCCCTTTTAAGTTTATAAAATGTTTATGTTAGAAATGTGAAGTAGCAAAATGTTTAAGTTTAAAAGCTCCAAATAGTTTTGGCCTAGCTGTTTGAACAAGAATATAAAAATAATTTTACCAGAAGCCAGCATGATAAAGAAGATGATGAAAACCACAAGTGAAAATGCATTTTTCATATTTTCTGATCTTTTTCTTTGATAATTGGTTGAGAAAATTATCCGTATATGAAACATTTGCTTGGTCGATATATATAGTGTAAAGCTCCAATAACAAATTAATATGTATTGATATGTTACCTAAAGAATGGTCATTTCTGCTGAATGAACTGTATATTGACTGTTGATATCATTATATTCATTCCTAAAAGTTTAGTAACAAATTTAGAGGAGAAAGATATTCATCTTTATCTAGATTCTTTATTTTGTTATTCCCCTGCTCTTACTTGTTATGTTTTCCTTAGGTAATTTTGTACCTTTTAATAAATGTTTTAAAAAAATAAATAATTCTATACCTTTTAGTTTATTCTATAAAATAATAGACGAATTAATTTACACTTTCTAAAGATGATTCTAATTTCTTATACATTTACATATATATATGGCAAATATTGTATATATGCAATTGAGATATATTCAATGTATCCTGCACAATGTATTTACCTTTTCTTGCAAGTTACTATATATTATATATAATACTGTTTTTATAAGAAAAAATGGTTGTTGCTGCATATAGTTGAGCAAAATATGGGGTGTCTTACATCCATTGATATATGTAATATGGACATGAAAGATTGCGATGCATCTTACAAATTAAAATTTGGACAAAAAACCACTAGCATATACAACCTAAAGAAAAATCTTGCAGCAAAAATCGGTTTATATAAAAAATTTATTCAAAAAAAATCAGCTTATATTATTAAATTCAAAATTATGGCCTAACAGAATTATTTTATTAGATTATATAAAATATTTTTACGTTATGGTTTAATATTCTTAAAATTATATATGCTTGATTTTATTAAAAAAAAATATTTTGATTAGCGGATTTCTGGTTAATCTAAAATACATTTTTAATTTAAACCATGAAATCAAGTTTTTTCGTTGTCAAAACCATAAAATCAGACTTTTCGATCGAAATAAAAAGCCGCATTTTTCCGCAAAATACTAAAATGACGTTGTTGTACCAAAGTCAGGAATTAATAATAGCATTTTCTATCAAACAATATTTTCTTGTCAAAACTGTAAACCCACATTTTTTAGCAAAATCAAAAATTAGTAAAATCATGTTGTTGTAACAAAATCAGAAATTTCCGTAGAACTGTAAAAATAGCGTTTTCTATCAAACCGTATTTTCCTTCCATAATTATGCAGTTTTGGCAGAAACACATTTTTAGCGGGAAAACCCGCATTTTTCCGTATGATTATATTTTCCCGCTAAAAATCCATAAAATCCGCAAAATTGCGTTATTCGCATTCCGTTAACCCGTGTTTTCCCGTAAACCCCATAAAATCTGCAAAACCAAATTTTTAAAATTATGTGTTTCTGCTAAATCTACAAAAAACACATTTCTTGTTAAACCGGCATTTTTTCGTAAAAGTATATTTTCCGCTAAAACTTATAAAACCCGTTAAAACTTGTAAAATCCATAAAATCTACAAATTTGTTGTTGTCAAATCTGCAAACCCATAATTTCCGGCAAAAAAATTATTAACAAACCATGAAAAAATTATTTACATAATATTTTTTTCATAGTATGTATATATGTAATCAAAGAATAATGATTACATATTCATCATTGACTACAAATTATCACATTTAATAAATATCATATTAGTTTTAAACATTTTAAAATAGTGCTTTTTTCTATAGTGAAGAAATTGATTATAATATAATATATATTTAATTTATAATATAATATATATAATTATATTAGTTATTCATGCCATTTATATATATTTTTGGTAATTATGTTAAGATATTATGAAATATTTCGAAATAATTTCAAAATTAAATTAATTTGAATTTTATTAAATATCAGATATAATTTATTGATATTATCTATTAACAAACTAATATAATGTAATTTAATTTAATGCATTTTTAGTGGTTTAATAATATGACTAAATTACCCTTAATGAATTAATGAATTGTCTAGTAAATGTAATGACATATATTGTAAATACTAGTAAATACCATGGTAGCTTTTGAATATTTATTAAGAATGATTCTCTTTTAATAGTTTGGATATTTGAACAAAGTAGTGTAAATGGCTGGACCCATGATATTATTAATTTAACGTTTTATACAATGTTTGTTGACATCCATCATCATATTATTTTTCGTATGTATATCTAAAAGTAAGGCTACAAGTGCTAAAATTCACCTCATTTTTGTTTTTGTTGAACAACAAATTCACCTCATTTCTAATCTATATACGTATACTACAAGTTAGATAACTTCTTGCACACAAAAGAACTAATTAGAATTCACTATTAGATCATTTGAATAACTTTTGTTGCGGATTATTTCTGATGCAAATATATCTAACTAAGTATTGTTTTTAGAATGTATAAGCGATGGTCAAAAAAATTATATTTGCGAAGTGGTAGATGCCTTGTTTCTGGCAATATTTTGTTGAAAAATTATTAACTTCTACAATGTCTTACGTACGAATAGAAATAATGTCACAGTACGAATATGTTGGCATTCACCCATCTTCCAGTAAAAATGAAAATAATTTTGATCGGTTTAACTAATTTATTTCATTTATTCCAAAAAACATTACAAACAGCCCAAAAATTAGCAAGGATATCGGCATTTGTATAAATTATATATTTTGTGGCTCCGGGGATATTTGTGACGTGCGGCAAAAGAAAAAGCAATGGCAATGTTCGTTATTATCGCAAAAGCCTTCCGCAAGAAACCCGTGTTTCTTCGTGCATCTTTTATTACATGATTCACAACCACCTAGATCTTCATCGCATATATTTGCGTTCACTTTATTTTCAACTGTAAAAGAGTTTTCTTAGTATAGGGAAAATATTTGAATCTATGACACTTAGCAGAAAAAAATACTTAATTAAAGAAAAAATTACTGTAAAAAACGTTAATTTTGGAGTAATAACTTCAGAGATCATATGGAAACGGTACACTAAGTATTGAATAAACATACAAAAATATAAACCAAATACTTATAAGCAGAGCAATGTGATGCATGCAGTTAAATTATTAATAATGTTTTAAAATGGTAGAAGAATTTGGCTACATTTATTTAAGTCAATTTATCAAGCATGTTATCAAAATAATCCCTCTCTTTTAAGTTTAAAAAATCTTTAAGTTAGAACGTTAAATTTAGCAAAACAAATACATAAATAATATTTTTTTTAAAGAAACTTTATATTAAGATGCACTATTTTGTTATACTAAGATAATATTACCTAATATTTTGGCCTAATTATTTGAACAAGGATATAAAATAAAATTACCAGAAGCAAGCATGATAAAGAAGATGATGAAAACCACAAGTGAAAATGCATTCTTCATATTTTCTAATCTTTTTTCTTTGATAATTGGTTAAGAAAAACTATCGGTATATGAAACATTTGCTTGGTCTATATATACAGTATATGCTCCATAACACATTAATATGTTACCTAAAAAGAATTGGTCATTTCTGCTGAATGAGATGTATGTTGACTGTTAACTGTTTTGATATCATTGTATTCATTTCTAAAAGTTTAGTAACAAATTTATAAGAGAAATAAATTCATCTTTATCTTTTTTTTTTGGGGGGGGGGGGGGGGGGGGGGGGGGCAAAGAAATTCATCTTTATCTAGATTCTTTATTCTGTTCTCTCTCCTCTTACTTGTTATGTTTGACTTGGGTAATTTCTATATATTTTAGTCTATTCTATAAAATAGTAGAGGAAATAATTTACACTTTCTAAAGATAAATTTAATTTCTCATACATTTACATATATATGCCAAATATTGTATGTGTGTAAATGAGATAAGTTGTATTTACCCTTTCTTGCAAGCTACTATATATTATATGTATTACTGTTTTTATATGAAAAACTGGTTGTTGGTGCATATATAGTTGAGCAAAAATATGGACATGAAAGATTGCATGCATCTTACAAATTAAAATTTGGACAAAAGACCACTGGTATCTTGGATAGTGTCTCTACACTCACCCTTATCTAAATATCCAGCTAGTAGAGCTCGTTTTTTGTGGCAAAATGCTCAAAATGGATCCGACTAAATACATAGGTTTTAGTTGGGCTTTCGATAAAAACCCAACTGTTTCCTTTGATGAGTCCACGTATGGTAGAGCTGGGTGCTGGATCTTCATATGTTTTACAATTTGGATCCGCAGAATATGTTGATGTAGTAATAAAAACATTGTATTCTTGAACAAAGTAGTGTAAATGGCAGGGCCCATAATACTTGTTCAAGAGGAAGTAAACCAAGTCTTATCTAGAACCAGGTGATGGAGAATAGAGTAATTAATATGCATGTTGATGCCCAAAAATCTAATTTACATAATCATGTTTAAAATTTCTTGTCAACATGAATTACAATAACCTCGTGGGGACTACTTCTGTTATCAGGAAAATGCTCCCCCGCCAAATCTTTTTCCCACAAATCATTTTTTTTACTATGAGTAGCACCACCTACATCAAATTTGTAAAAGCTATTACACGAAGCATATTGATAGCTATGACTCAAAATATTGATATTTATACATAGTAAATAGACCAAAAAGATGAAAGCACAATATTTTGTATATAAGATCTAGCTGAAGAATGCAAAATGTACATTTTGTATTGTAGTTTTTCTATAAAAAAAATTGTATCACTACCCCATACATCTTAACAAAACAATGACCGAGATATAACCGAATGCAAAAGAGACACTTGTTTTTTTGTAACCTTTTCGAGAAAAAGAGACACTTGTTCCGATTGTTTTCTAAACACTCACTGATCAAATATGAGATCATGTTTTAGTCAAGAACACAAATATCTTTAATAATGTTTACGTAAGTTAAGCACTATGAAATTTATTCGGTGGTCGTAAATCTCGAGATTACGTACTATATTTTGTTGTATAAAAAGACAAAAACAAATAAAAAGTTCGCTGATATGAACACGTGGACAACGAACGTGAAGGCCAAGACAATGACAGATTTATAATATACTTGTGAAGGAGACACATGCATTGATGTTTCTTCACGTAAAGAAAGGCCTTCGAGTTGGCATTTCCTTGCCTCACGAATCTTTGTCTACCTCGTGCTTCTTTTTAATTATATTGTCCCTAATTTCTTTTTATTTTTAAAATATATTATTAGAATTATTTGTTTATTCATACAAAAAGAAACTGGTATTCAAAGTGCCACAACGTTCGCTACTCTGTCTCTTCTCCTCTTTGACTTTTGTCACACTTGTCTCTATCGTCCTAACTCAACCATGGTTACCCAAGTTTTGTTGCAAAACCCTAAGCCAGCCTAAGTATCTGTTTCTCGATATTATTTTGTCCTTATAATTAACACATATATTATGATCACCAGTTAAGTAATTTGACTTCTTTGATTAATTAAATGATTAATCCGAATCAACACTCCCCATGTATCTCTCGTTTTGCTGTTTGTTTTCTCTTATAATCTTTTGTTGGGATTGTGAATTGTGAACATGTGTGTGGTTCAAGAGTCAACTTCGGACGTAGGGTTGTCACAATCACTTTTGAATATTGTAAACACCCTCTATTTTGATTTTATTCAGATATGCAATTAATATTCATAATTTGTCTTTTCTTACAACAATGTTCATACCTCTTCTTAATAAGCATAAGATTTTGATTTCAATATCTCGGATCTCGGTCTAATATGTTTCTCAAATCTAAATTAACACTCTTAAACATTTTTCATGTGTCTATGTTAGATTTCATTTAGTTTACAGAGAATACAAGTTTCGGCTAATCGGATCTTTAAGATCACTGATACTATACTAACGTCAGTTAAGAGTTTGCAATATACACAAGGCTGCAAAAGAACAATAATTTTAATTTAAATAAAAATAGGACATTAAAGCGCAAAAGAAGTGGGTATAAGCTTTAAAGTGTTTTAGAACTTTTTACATTAGACAAGCAAAGAAAAAGTGACTTTAGAACTACATTGACTTTGACAACCGAGATGCGAATATTGTACTACTTTTGAATTACATTTAATTAGAAGAGGCCGAAGATGATAAGGAATTTTCGTTTCGTATACATTGGAATCTGAAAACTATTTAATAAAATTTTGAGCTATAAATGAAAATAGGGAAATCCAACTGAACTTTGTAGTTGAGGACTATGTGTTTTGTCAAACATAGGATCCGACCGTTGTTTGTTGTGCATGTGCCTAGAGACATGACCCTCGCATCACCCTAACTAATTGTCTTCCAGATTTAAATACTTTTCATACCTTTCTACAATTTAAAGAACCAATGAAAATATACTGAAAACAAAAATCACACAACATGATATGAACATCTATAATTATATATAAACTTCAGCCATGCAACCAATATTTGATTGAAGACCAATTGATTTATTGCACACCGTCACTAAGATTCGGTTTGCGGGTTGTATTGTACCAACAACAATTAAGCAATGCAGCGATTAATTTTAGTCACTAGGTTTTGTCATGCTATAATCAATCATTAAGTTTAGATTTTGACAAACATATATTGTTTCATAAAATCGTTTTAGATATGCTACACGGTTTTTATTTATCAGTTTTTTTTGGTAAAAAACATAGTTATGTCATGCATTAAAAAATTGATAGATGATATAAGCGGCTGATTCGATTTTCGGAATGGCCTAGAAAGGATTAAAGATATATGTATTGCTAAAATTCAAAATCGAAATGGTGGCCAGATCCTGGATCAACTGGTATTATGGACCGGTGTGAAAACATTGCTAAAAATAGATGACCTATATGTATATGTAGAAACCATATGTATTTGATTAAAGGATATTTTCAAGAGAAGATGAATCTATTTATTTGCAAATAGATTGTGAATGCATTTTGAAAATTACAGAATCCAAAATAGTGGAACCAAAATAAATAAATTAAAAAAAAAAAAGGCTTCAAGCTTCAAAGCGTTTGACTTTGACTTCCAAGCTCCAACAAAAACACTCGGCCACTTATATTACAACGCTCTCACTTCCTTGCTCAGTCAGAATCGTCAATCTCCGAGCTGTCTTCAAGAACTCACTGCAAGAGATCAGTCAAAATACAAACATTTTATATAATTAGATGTTTTCTTCATTACCACAGATTATAAAAGAAACAATACAAATAATCAGTTTTTGAATTGTTTTTACCTGAAAGGTTCGTTTCCTGCGTATTTGATGGCTCCTGATGCATCCCTATAGAGAACAGAGCTCAACATCTCAGACTTTTGAATACCAAACATGTCAGAGAGCTTCCGACTCAACTCTTCGTACGACCCAAGAACCGACAGGTCTAAGGTTCGACCCACGTCGTCCGACTCCATAAACACTTTACAATGCCCTGTTTCCAAACCCGATGCATCATGGGCTTTCTTGGAGCAAGGCGATCCTTCATCCGACGAAGACACGACGCCGTTCTGGTTCGACCCGCCTGACGAAATCTGCGTTTTCTCTACGTTACCTGTATCCGTCGACCCTTTCTCCGATATCTGCTCCTCCGGTAGTATGAGCTTCCCGAACAACACGATGTGGGACTTCTTAGACTCCGTATCGTTGCACGGCGATGTTCCCATAGTCAGAAAGCAGAACCCTTTCTCGTTTCTGCCATCGATGTTTCGTAACCCTAGAGAAGGAGAGAGAGGGAGAGACGACGGAGGAGGGAGAGGAGGAGGAGGAGGAGGTCTATTCAAGTAGTAATGGTGGAGATCGGAAGATGATAACCCGTAGTACTGATGAGCATTATGCCTGGCTCCCTGTAAACCCACGGGAACATTGTCCAGAACAGAGCTTAACGGGCTTGATCTGATGAGTGGATTGCTTGGGAATGAAGGTACCGGGATCGAGTTTATCAAGTTGCTGTAATCCGGATGCTGAGGAAGCCTCATCTTTTTCCTCGGCGGCGAAAACGAAGTAAGCGGGATCGGATGCACGTTCGACACCAGTTCGACTAGCCACGGGTTAACCCGCTTCACGTTTTGGAGTAAATCAGGCTCATCCCAAGCCACCTGAAACCACACACACACACACACAAACAAAAACGCAACCTTTGAGTCTAAAGTGTCCTCCTTTATGTTTCTTTCTTCTGAGTTAGACGAAAGAGGGTTTGTTTTTGTTTTACCTGTAGAAGCCGCCAAGGAGAGTTAGGCCAACGGATAGGATCAGAGACGTTAACAGCAGAGACAGTCCCCATAAACCAGCTTATCCGAGAAGAATCCTCCGTCTCAAACGCCATTTTAAACCTCATACCTGAGCACCACGGAATCCTCATCGCCGCTCGAGCATCAAGCGCCTTGACGCAAAACTCCGACGTGCTAGCCCTCGGATAGTACACGACCTCGAACGGTCTTCCGCTTATAGCGAGCGTCGACGCTTCTATAACAGACTCCGCCGTCACTTTCCCTTTTCTATCAGCAAGAGAACAGTTACTTCTCCTCAAAGTATTGCTCTCGTCTTCTCTCAGAAGCGAAGAGTAGCCACAGCTTCCTCCGATCGGATTCCAACCCGCTGAATATTCCGGTCCATTACCGATCCCTCCTCTCTTAGCCCTCCTGATACCTACACAGAGATCTCCGTTCTCAGCTCTCATGAACACAATCGAATCTCCCGCCACAAGCTTCTTCTGGTTCACGAAGTTACTCCAACCGGTGGTGAGAAGATGCCGGCGAGGCGTCCCTCTGTATATATGCCTAAACTTCCACACGTCACCGTGAACGTCCTTCGCGAGAATGGTCTGAACCGGAGGCTCGGCGTTGTAATCCAGCCTCGGGAAGATCGTCTCCGCGCAGTAACGAGGAACAGAGAACCCTCCGCCGTTGTTAGCGTCGGACTGAGTCAGAGTCTTGGCGAAGGAAGGCGTCTTCTCGCTGTTGCTCTCGAAACCGTTACCGTCTTCACCGTCTCCGTACTCGTGATGATCGATGAACTCGTCGTCTTTCAGAGGAACAAGCCTCAGCTTGGCGAAGACCTCGTCGGACTCGGGGTCGGCCATATACTTAATGGCCAAGACACGGCACAGAACCATCGGAGGGACAGGGAGGTTTCCGAAATCGACGCAGTCGTAAGCGTTTTCGGCGTGTCCTTGAGGGAAGTAGAAGACTCTGGAGTTCATAGGAGGCATACGAACCATACCACCAGCACATGCATGCCATAGTTGAGGATCTAAACCTTTCTCTGATCCACCTTTCATCGGATTCATTACGTTTATCATACTTTCTCACTGACCAATATTTTGATTCCTTACGACCGTTCTTGCTGCAAATATGAAAATGGAGGAAAAGAAAGAATAAATGGGAATCAGGTTTTGTTTGAAGAGAGTAGAGAGAATAAACAACAGAGAAGCAATCAATAAAAGTTCAAAATGCTATTTTTGAAGTACTTCAAAAATCTTTTTAAGTCCTTTGTTTTAGTCAACTCTGTAACTAATAAACGAGATTTTCCCGGAAAAAAAATTGAAAATGAAAAATATCTAGAAAACCCGAGAAAAAGGGTCATTTCCGAGTAGAAGATTTCAACTATCAAATCTAGGGGGAAAACTTAAACATGCCAGTGAATGTTACAAATGATTCAGTGAAAGTCTGAATATGATTTACCAAGAAAAACTTTCAGGAACTTTGAGGAGATAAGTAGTTTTTTTCTTCAATACAATCATCCCAATAAAAAAAATAGAAACTTTTTTTTTAATTTAGAAAATTTTAGCTAGAATTTCATAAGAAGAAGCTCACGGGTTGTGACGTTGTGTCGTGAAGAAGATGAATCAAAAATTACAGATCGGTGACCTTGAGAGCAAAATGAAAACAGAAACAAACAGTAAACTAAGAGAGTTGGAGAGTAAATAGACATAGGCAGATCAATATAAGCTTAATCAAATCAAAATCACATCGAATTGAATCGATTTGAACAATCAAGAAGGAAGAAAATTCACACAGCGATTCGATCAAACAGAGAGAGGATTACGACGGAACTAAAAGATTTGTTCAAACCTTAGAACAGTGGCAGATCTGAGGAAAACTCTTGAAGATTCTGTCGAAAAAAACCTTCTCTTGGTTTCCTGAGAATCTGAAGATTCTGCAGCTAATTTTCTGCTTCAGAATCGGATAAGAAAGTTCACTTTTGAACAAAGGGAAATGAAAAGGGGGTTCGTGTATATGAAGGAAAGAGGTTTGGCTTTCTGGAAAAAAATATAGAAATAGAAATAAAAATAAAAATATTATCTCTTTTTTCTCAACTTTCATTAACTCATTCACATGTCTTTTAGTATTATTTTTTTCCTGGTTAGTGATTTTAATCCGGATTATATATTAAAAAAGGTAATGTTTTGAATAATAAATTTAAGCCCAAAAAAAGGTAACAATTTGGTAAGTCAAACCCTTGATTCCGGGCATAAAAATCGACAATACGGAGTGTGAAAAAGGAAAATATTATATTACTACTAAACAGTTTTAATATAGATTATTTTTTTTTAACGAAATATATCGACATACGAGTTAAGAGTTGAATCGCGCACGTGACGGATCCGCACGTGTCGTCGGTGCTTCCGACATATCTCCTAGAAATCTGATTAGAAGCATCTAATTAATTAACAATTCAAATTAAAACTAATTTATTGTTTTAATTCAGCCATTAACTGTTCTTTGAATAAAGTAATTTTTTACAGTTTGATAATCCCAATATCATTAAATTTCTATCTTATTGTTTACGAAACACGATAGTTTGTTGATGATATTCATGAAAGCAAATTGCTGTTGCTGACCATGTTTATTAACACCACACTCTGTTCAAACGAATAAAAAAATTAAGACCTACTTTGGTTTTTATGTAATTACCAAGATTGTCTATATACTACTACCGTATGTAATTACAAGATTGTCTAAATTAGTTGTTATCTGTTGTGTGTCATTGTCTTCAAAGATTAATACGGTTCTATTTATTAAGAGTTGAAAAATACAAATTTTCTGATATTCATGTATTTTGATGCCATATTTCATACACAATATTCAAGGACGTGTAACTGTTGATATCAAAACAGTTCCTCTAATCAATTTAACTAACCATATTTATATATTAATGAAAATTGTTGCATAACTTCCCATAATCTACTGTGGTTAGTTTTTAGGTTTTAAAGTTCCTTTGGAGTAGATAATGATGTTGAAATTTATAAACTAAATAAATGCTTTTGACATAAAAGAAAGAAAACATTTAGAACATTTGTCCTATAAAATATAAGACTATAACTATACCCCATATATCCAAGTAAGAGATGCATCAATACTGCGATCATATAGCAAGTGCCAATAAATTTCCGCATGTGTCTTTGTATTTTCTTGTCGTAAGAGATAGCTTTCTCATTAATACGAAGAGTTTTGATCTAGGCCATACTAAGAGTTTATGAACCAATTAGTCGTATATAAAATTATAAATATCTGAAACTAACACTGATTTTTCAATGTGAGAAAACTTAAAAAGGCTTGTGTAACCTTTTGCCCTTTTGGAGTTTAGCAGTTGTTGTTATCCAAGGATATATATATATATAGATTGAAGAACTTAGAATGATAAGTGAATCCGAAAAACACTATTCCGTTTCAAAATTTAAATAATACTAAAAAAAGAAATATGAAAACGGGAATGATGCTATAAAAAAAAAAAGTAATAATGAAAACATATATGACCAGAGGACATAGCACGTGCGAGTAACCATGGTTAAGTTTGAAGTGTGTCTGTCTGTATATATATTGTAGGTCAACACCACGACTCTCCTTGTCAATACTTATTACGTGTGTCTCCGTTTATGTTAATCCAGTAATATTTGCATGTCACAAGGGTAACTTCGTCATTTGAAAATAAAACCAGTGGATCTAATCTAATTGTCCTCTTGTTCCTTCAGATTTGGTTATCACATTTGCATGTAAATACGCCTCGTGTTTATGTTTGACCATACGTTTTGATGCGTCTAACGCGAATTGACAATTGTTAATCATTTTTTAGTATAATTTACAATTATGTAAGTCAAATTCAGATTAATAATCCTTATGACTTCTATAACGTTACATAAAACCAATACTCAGAAATCTGTAGATTGAAGGACCAATTATCAATTTAAGACAGCTTTGCTATAATATATCTTCTTAACGTTAACAATGCGAGTGATTGCGTTTACGTAAAAAAAAAGTGATAATGCAAGTTTGGTAAAATCTCTTAATTAACGACATGAACAATGTCGGATTTACAATTTAACCCACCAGGCTAACACTTGATAAGCATGGCCCAATAAAATCTACAAAGGTCTGGACCAGTTCATAGCAATTAGCAACACACTCACCAACCATTTCGTCAAGTTCAGGATACCTAAACACTCACGAGTGTTTTAACTTCTGTAAGTAATAAACGTTATAAGTCCGTAATTATTCCTTGAAAGTACACAAGAAAATTGACAGAAAGTAAGTATACGAATCAAACTGAACTAACAACTTATACTGTAGATGAATCAATAACTTGAATGACCAAAACACCAAGGGTTCATGAAATTTTGAATGGAGCAATTGTGAAATTATAATTCGTTCACTCCATCCCAAATATATATTTTTACTTAGATCATACATATTTTGTTCTTAAGTTAGAAAATAAAATATCAACTATGATATATTTTTCCCCACAATTATGGAGTTTATTTGAAAAGATAGATGATAAAGACTAAAACAACAAAGAGGGTAAAATGTAAAGCGACCTTTAAGGAGGAGACATATAAAGACATGAATTGGGATCAGACACAAACAGTCGTTATAGACATTGACTCTCTCTTGTCTTTTTCTTTCTCTCCTTTTGTCTTCACAAAATATATTATTTTTAGTTTTAAAACTTTTTTGTAATTTTTTTTGTGTGTGCAAATTTACCAACGAAATTTTCAATAATGATGAAAATATCAATTCTCTCATTGGACCCGTTTAATTAAGGCGTTTTTAGTTCGACTAATTGGGCTGGGCCTGGCTAGATTAACATGCCAAATCAAAATTTTATAACCATCTCTGTCTGTATCATGTGAGAAGATTTACAACTTATCTTTTCTCTTCTCTTGACTAATAAAACCATAAACTATGAAAGCTGAGAAGATTGTTCTCAGATTTGCTACTAAAGTGACTCGAGAGACCTTGGTTTTGTAGAACAGCTCTGCTCAACTTCTTCAGCTAGAACTAATAACTGTTATAAGTCTGAGAAACCAGAAAAGGCATATACAAACCACCTGCAAAAAAAGATTTCCTCCATTTCAGTACTCATCATATAGCTGGAACCAAATCCAATGATATATACATAAGTTAAGTCACGAAACCTTTTTGATCTCCTGAAGTTAAAAGTAATATTGGTTCATTGGTGATGATGACGGCGTTTAGCTCTGCGATATCCACTGATTGGTTCTTGTTTATAGCTGTGTCTCTTCTTCCCCTTAGGACTGTTCGACCCGCAAATAAACGATGCAGTTTCTTTATGACTTACAAAGATTGAATCTTTTAAAGTAAAGTCATAGTCTGTTATTGGAAAATGTTCAAAGCTTACTTGGAGACTGCAGAAAGCAACTTGATGATGAATATGAGAGGGAACCCAATTAAAGCCGTGGCCTGATGATGTACAAACAAAAAGGGTTTAATATAGTTAAAGACTTTGTCAAATTTATTTATACGTTTGCAAATGGTAGAGAACACATACCCCAACCCAAGCTAAATCCATGGTAGCAACCGGTTTTGTAACCTCATTGTTCTTCAGCATTTCTTGAGCCTTGGTTTTCAAAAGAATCAGCTTATTAAACTCTCTTAATCAAATTTCGAATTCAGAAAGCTAGCAGGAAACATGATGTTGTATACCTGCTGATGGTAGATTTTTGTCGACTTAACCAACTTCTTAAAGCCATGTCTTACGTTTTCGGTATATGGCTCTAAGGCGACTTGTACTCTCTCCAAGTGTGGTTTCGCTATAGTCATAACTTGACTCGTGTATGGGTGTGTATGTGTCCTGATTACCTAGAAAAGGAAAAAAAACAGACAATGGTCTTACACAATGTTTTAATGTAATGTCGAAAGAGAAGCAGTCGAATGAATAAGATGAGAATATATTAACCTCAAGATAGTAGCAAGAAAGATCGAATCCATGGAAGAGATGTGGTGTAAAAGCCTGCTTAGACATAGATAAGACTTCGATGGACTTATCGGTTAAATACTGAACTTTTGGTTCGAGATAAATAGTTAATGTTACACACGCATCTTTGATGCTTGGAATCCATTTCTGCAAAATCAAGAGGAAGAAGTCTCAGACATGAGTGAGTGTATCAAGTGAATAAATGTAAGTGTGAAGTAAGAATAAATCTCACTGAGTTCATGGTTTCAGTGTGAGGCTCTGACCATTTCTGGACTTGGTCTATTTTCTGCGACACCTGAAAGATAAACAAAGAAAAGACAAAGAAGAAGTAGTTATATCTCTTGTAAGGGAAACTGAAGACTTTCTTGGTTTAATTGTGAAGCGAAAGACAAACCTTTTCAAGAGTGATATGAAGAGTTGGTTTAAGATGTTGATGCCATAGAGTCATTAGATATGCCTGCAACCACGAAGAATGGGATTTTAACAAAAGTAAATCACTAAGATTATGCTATGCTATGTGCCTTAAAGCTTTTAGAATTACCTGAGTTTTATTCAGGTTAAGACCAAGCTTAGACGAGAACCACTTCCCATTGATCTGAACATTTTCAAGCTTTGAGCTAAGTTCTGCAACTTTCTCATCTGCGATTTGAGCTCGAGCTTCCACTTCGAGTCTTCTCTTACGTTGCAATTCAACTTCTCGTTTAAGTCCAAGTACCTTCCAATGCAGAAGTATCAAGTAAAGTATGGATAAAGGTACTAATGAGGCAGAAGGAAACACATAGCTCAAACTACAAAACCCAACCTGCTTCTCAAGTTCATAAACCTTTTCTTCTGCTTCACTTGCGTGCTTCACCGAACTCTCAGACTAAAAATAAAGCATTAACAGCAACAAACGTAAATAACTTTCTTCTACAAATGAATCAAATCCAAAATATATATATATAAAAAAAAAACAGAGATGAATGAAGATCTCACTTGGGATAAATCTATCTCACTCTCAAACAAGTAAGATCTCTCCCGGATATATAACTCCAGGCCATGGATTTTCTCTTCCTTGCTTAGCAATTCTTGGTTTTTTTCCTTGACGATTGATTCTGTTAACAATTAAGACACAAAGAAACAAACCAAATCAAGACATTAAAATATGATGCAGCTGAGAAATTCTAGAAAGAAGCAAAACGTTACAACGAGTAATTTCCAGAAACAAAACGGAAGCTGAAATATATAAAACGTTTTTTTCTAAGAAGAAATATCGATTTATTTTCTTTATTCGACTTAATACATTTTCTCAGAAACCAAACAAACAGGCATAATAAATTCTTATGAATCCCAATGAAACCGTTACCCATTTCTCCAGAATTTCCTCAGAAACCAAACAAATCAAAAACCATTTCACATTCTCTACAGTTCTTCAGAAACAAAATAGAAGAAACACCCAGAAAATTCAGCTAATCGTGAGATAAATTTCTCAAAAGGCTAAACCTTTACGTTAGACACTGAAGCTAGTAAATTGCATTCCCGGGAAAAAAAAATCTGGAAATCCAGAACGAAAATCGAAAAGGGTAAAAGAGATACGAGGCGTACGGAGAGCAGAGACGGAGGATTTGAGTTCGTCGAGCAAATGGTTTTCATTTCCATTACAGCCATTGTTCTCCGAGGAGGAAGAAGCTTCGTTTCCAGAGAATGAAGAAGAGCTACAAGCGATTTCCCGGTAAATGGAGAGCGTAGTGACGAGAAAAAGAAGCAAAAGTGGCTTAGAAAACGCCATTATTGGAGACTGCAACAGAGAAGTTAGCACAGTCTAAGAGAGAGAGAGAGAGAGCGCGAGTCGCGAGAGAAAAGGACAGAGAAAGCGTGTACCGAGTCAAATAAAGGGTCTTCCTATCTTTTCTGTAATTACATATTTGTCCATTTATTTTCGACACATTTCAGATATTATCCCAAATGAAATGACCAATGTGTAGATTTTGATGACAGGGTGTCATTTGTGAACGCCATTCTTAGGCATATGCAATTAGCTTTAATCTCTGACTCTTAAAGTCTTAATGCAACTAAAACGGAAGGATATCAACTTAAATGTAAAAGTATAATAATTATTAGCCCAAGTGACCATGTTTTCTCCTTTGCCTTTCTCTTACTATTACTTCTCTTTTTGCGGTAAATATAGATTTTCTTTATAATTATTTTTTTAATAAATTTTGGCAGATTAAATAATTAAAATTTAGGATTCTCTCCATGTACATGTGTTTGTTTTTTCTCTGCTTTTTAACAACGTAGTTTTCTTGTAGATGAATTTCCTTTTGGGGGTGTAATTTACAAACTGTAAACAGATTTCAAAGATAATCAAAGGAAACTTTTTTTTCTATTTGCAATAGTGTTAATTCATGAACCTCTCCACTCACTTAAAATATTATTCACATGTTTTTTTACTATAGAATACCAAAATACATATTTTTGGGGTCAAACTTTCCCTTTTTCGAATATGTTTTTCCATATAATATTATCTTTTTTACTTTTAGTGACTTTCACAGTTTTGTTAAATTAAAACTTCGTGTTACAAAAAAATACTTGGACTTGCCCAATTTCATAAACCAATCACTGGTCTGTATATTTGGTCTTTTAATTTTGTATCAAGCTTTGGCCCAAAACTAAGCTTATAAGAGAGAGAGGATTTAGCCCAAAACTCTGGAAATTTGACGTGACATTTAATTAGTAAAATGGAAAGTACTGAATTGTGTTTTGAAGAAGAACGGTCAAATGTATTTAGATTGGATCGTATAGAATCTAACGTACATCAATTTTTTTATAGAGTAATTTGGTAGATTTCATATCGGAATTCGAACTAATCTGAAGAATATGTAGAAATCTGATAGTTTTGCCAATCAAGATATATACAGTTATCAAGAGGAGACTACATCAATTCTTGTAGATTGAAACTTGATATTTGATCTTGACCTATATAGTGATTCTTCTACTCACTCCAAAAATAAACACTCCACTGAACCTTACGCTCTTGATTAACACACAATAATTTATCTTCTAAGTTGGTTGAAATCGGAATTCACCAGTTGATGAAATCAAACTAACAGCAAAAGATGAGGAAAAAAACTATGATTTAACCAAAACATATTAATAGTATAATATTTGGTAAATAGATAAGATGTTTTCGGATATGATTGGTGACCGTGATAATAAATTTTGTAAGCATAAAATCATCATTACGTTAGTAATTGTTAGTCATAAAAACCAAATTCTTACAGTAATTACAGAAAGTAAACACATTCACTGTCAATTCAAACTCAATGTCATTGCAGTTTGTTCGCTTAAAGTGTAGGTGTGAAATCACCAATTAAGTCTCAATATATATTTGGCATGATTGATTTGTTGTACCGCGTAATACCTCAAAAAAATCTAAATTTTAGAAAATAAAATTATTTAGTTTTAGGATGTTAAGGTATACAGTATATCTACGATTCTACAATATATATATATATATGTGAAAAACACAGTAAAACAACAATGCATAAGAGTTACTAAATGATAAAAACTTACTAACCCATGTTTATATCGACTATATATTTTTGTTTTTTGATAACCATCGATTATAGTCCATGTTGTTTCTACTGTAATTACAGCGTTTCAACCACCCCATTTCCACCAGTCCTTCTAGTTAAAAGTTCACACATGATATTTGGTACAAAATCTATCTATGCGACATGTTACATGACAAACGAAATACAAATAATCTATTCGATACAACCAATAAATAATGCATTTTAATTGCCACAACCCCAACTTTTTTTTCCTTCCTGACATTTAGTAGTCCTTGCTAACTTTTTTTACATATTGAAACAAAAAAAAAAAGCAAGAAAAAATTGGTTTTTAGTAATTTTGATCACCGCTTGTCCTAGACAGCTATTGAACGTTTCGGGCTAATATTGACATGCAAAAATATCAGATTTAAATATTCATATGGAAATAGGCGTTTTATTCTTTATCTCAATTCCAAGCATGGCCACAGGAGAACTACACATAAAAATAGACTATCCAAATTTAAAATAACTCGCCAATTATAAAATACCAAAACTATATTATAATAATAATAAACAATAAATAATAAAATAAACAAAAAAAACCTAGTTTTGCTCCTCGGTGACGCAATAATTAGAGGCGAACGAAACTTGGCCCCTCTCTCTCTCTATCTCTCGCCTATAAATAAGAAGTCGAGTTTAGCGTCAAAAGAGTATGCTAATTGCAAAATATACACACCAACAAGCGCTTCTCTACACTGTGTCCCATTTTCCTCTCTAACCTTTTTTGCTTTGCTCGTTCTAGACCGTCGGATTGTTTCCCTTGATCTTAATCCAACGGCTGTGATCCAATTCGATAGAAAGAGTCTCATCGTCTCTCAACCACCAGATTCTTTCTCTCCCTCCCTCTCGCCCTCTCTCGTCAAACCCTTCTACGAAATCACCGAAATCGACGAATAGACCAGATCTTCGATCCGCCTCCGTCTCCGTCGGTTTCTAACGATTGAGCCGCCTTTTCGAACTGTCTTCTCCGTTTCACCTTTTCTTCGCCGGAGTTTGGTTCTCTTCTAGGGATATAGAGACTGGGATTGATATTTTTTAGGGCATTTTTTTTCGGCGATCCAGGAAACCCTTAGAGACGTTGATTGCTGCCTCTGCCGACACCGTCAGTGGTTCGTCTGCTTGATCTCGATCTTTCATTCTAATTTGTTATGATATAACCACGCTCCATTGATCTCGTTTGATAGCTGATTCCATGGCTTTGTGTTTGTTCATGTGCGTAATTGCTGATTTTGATCACTATTCGTAGCTTCAGTGTATCTACTATGTCGTTCGTCTTTCGAAAATATAGGTTGCGGAGATTTATAAGATTACTCGCTTGATCTCCAGTACTATTTTCGTCGCTTTCTTTCAAACAAATATATTCCTGATGAACTTATATGTTTTCTGTATCACGCTTCATGCTGGCATGATGATTGATTGTGGTTTTCTGCAATGTCTAAATTTTCTCTGCAGACGCTGGTGTCTTCAGAGGGGGGATACATCTTTTGATTAGTGTTGTTATAGCGTCTTCTTCAGAAATTTAACTGCACTAGCTTGGAATTATACACAGTTTATGACTATACATTCGAGATGGCTTCAGAAGGCAAATTGTTATTTGATCTTAATGAACTTCCTACAGAAGATGATGATTTGAATGATCATGTAGAGTGCAATCAGCCACAGATGGCGGCTGTTCCATCTTCAAACACCAGTACCTCTGGCTTGCTTGCAACACCGTCGTGCTCCCAAGATAAAGCAAACAACCGAGTGTTCTTGCACGCATCAACAGTTTCTGGTTTTCAGCCTTTTGTCCGCCCTGTAGCTGCTCAGCATGCAGATGCAGCAGTTGAAGAAAAGGTGGATGAGGATTCGCGTAAGGTATCATTGTCATCATCGAGGTCAGGTTCATTAGAGGAAGCAAAGGCTGCGTCATCAGTAGCTCCAAATGATGCTGGAGCAAGTGAGAGGGAAGAAGGGGAATGGACGGAGTCGGTGGTTCCTGCCAGTGAGAATGTACATAGTAGTTCTGATTACAAGGGCATAGTATCACGAGAACAGGCGATGCCAGAAACTGGTGTCTCTTCTGATTATAATAGCACAATAGGATTAGATATTAACTCAAACTCTGGTCTACAAAAGAGAAACGTCAACCTGATTTCAGAAGGCAGTGCTAAAGATAGTGTGTCTATGGATGGTCCACAAGAGCAAGGTTTAGCGGCGAAGCAGAGAGAAACTAAAGGAGTTGAAGCAAGTCATGCAATCAAGTGCGCAAATACCACTGTGAAAAGAAAGATGGACCAACAGAAGGAGACGATGTTGGGAAAGAAACGAAACAGGCAGACCATGTTTCTTAACTTGGAAGATGTCAAGCAAGCTGGTCCTATTAAGACGACAACACCTAGAAGACAAAATTTCCCACAACCGGTTGTCACACGCACAGTTAGAGAATCTCGTGCAGGTCCTCCACCTGTTGAGCAAGGAGGCGGGGTTCCAGGGCATGTTGTATATAGGGATCAGAAACCAAATGACATTCCTAATGGTGGCATACATCCAGAAACGTCTGAACAGAAGTTAGAATCTAATGGTGAATCACAATCCGGCTTGGTTGGTAAAACTAGGAGGATGAATGGGGAGGCAGGACCTTCTTCTGATGGGACATCGACATCGGTGTCAAGGCAGGGTTCTTGGAAGCAGCCAATAAATTCACGGCAGGCGAAGACTGGTCTTTCGTCAAATAGACAAGTCTCCTTGTCCAGTCAAAGCTCCGTAGACTCAAAGTTCGGAAACAAGAAATTTACTTCGTTCAAGAAGCCAGCCACTAATAGTAACCAATACCAAGATACATCTGTGGAGCGTCTTATACGAGAGGTGACCAACGAAAAGTTCTGGCATCATCCAGGTATGTCCTATATTGTATTTCTGCTTATGGAACACGTGTTTGAGTGCACCTACTTTTTCAATTAAGTTACCTTGATTTAAGGTAGGAAATTTTATGCCAATTAAATCTACTGCTCTGGTGCCAGTTCCCTGTGTCCTCAATCATGGCTCAGTGAGAATCGTAATGGCCACATGATTTGGAAGGTGATACGATTAAATCATACTTGTAAAACTGGATGACAGAATTCTTCTAGTTTGTGTTAAATCTTTTTATGCACTTGTCCTGTTTCATCTCTCAGTGCTCTTTAGTAAAGTTTCTCTCTCCGCTCAGTATAGAAAAATTGGATGATTTGATATTTATCTAAAAGCTGAATGGTCTGTTAATGAAAGTGTATTGTATATTTGTTGATTGACATGCAACTGGTATTTTCTGTACACTACACACTCGAAATGTTTGACTTGCATGGATGATGATGTTTCACTTCAACTTTTTCTTATCTCCGGTGTTCTCCCAGATATATCTGTCTTTTCTGCCTTCTATACTCACTGTGTAACTAACTCTTTTGCATATCATTTTCTTGTGTTTAGAGGATACTGAGCTCCAGAGTGTTCCTGAGCGGTTTGAATCCATGGATGACTATGTTAGAGTGTTTGAGCCTTTACTTTTCGAGGAGTGCCGGGCACAACTCTACAGTTCGTGGGAAGAATTGTCTGAGGCAAATTCATTCATGAAGGTCAGAATCAAGTTCGTCGAAAGAAGAGAGAGAGGTAATCAGCATTATGAACCTAATTGACAATTTAAAGCTCTCTGGTCAACAATGTGAACTCTCTGCTGACTGTTTTCTTATTACCTGACTACTAAACCTTTGTTTTATCTGGCTTAGGATGGTATGATGTGATACTTAACTCAGTAAATGAATGTAAATGGGCTTTCAAGGAGGGCGATGTTGCAGTTCTTTCAACTCCCGTGCCTGAATCAGGTGTGGTTAGAACTCGTCTATTGTCTGGTTGGTTTTATATTGCTGGTGCTTCTCTCTTTATTCTGTAATTTTGTCCGTTTTATGTTTAGAAGGAGAGCATGAGGATGCTGGACGTGTAGCTGGCACAGTTAGGAGATATATACCCGTTGATACTCGAGATCCGCATGGAGCAATTCTCCATTTCTATGTTGGAGACTCTTATGACGCTGGCAGGTATATGCTTACTTTTTAGCTATTGATACCGTATCTGTGTTTCTAGCCATTGTTACTGAAAGCACTAATTTCCTGCCTCTTATTTCCTTACTCTGTAATTTACTTTTCCAGCAAGATTGACGATAATCATATTTTACGGAAGCTTAAACCTAAGGAGATCTGGCATCTGACAGTGCTTGGTTCGCTTGCAACTACACAGAGGGAATATGTTGCTCTGCATGCGTTTGGTCAGCTTAACCCACAGGTTGGTTTTGTTTCCCCTAATTAAGTTTACGTACATGCTTTCAGTCATGCTGACGCTGGTGAAATTAATGTATCCTTCAGATGCAAAATGCAATTCTCAGGCCCAGCCCAGAGCAGTTTCCTAACTACGGGGAGCAGACTCCTACAGTGCCCGATTGTTTTACTCCGAGCTTCGTTGGCCATTTGCATAGAAGCTTTAATGCTCCACAGTTGGCAGCAATCCACTGGGCTGCAATGCACACCGCAGCTGGTACTAGCAGTGGGGTGAAGAGGCAAGATCCATGGCCATTTACTCTTGTCCAGGGTCCTCCAGGAACAGGCAAGACACACACAGTATGGGGAATGTTGAATGTTATCCATTTGGTTCAGTATCAGCAGTATTACACTTCCTTGCTGAAGAAATTAGCTCCTGAAAGTTATAAACAAGTTAGTGAGAGCAGTTCAGATAATATTGTCTCAGGGTCTATTGACGAGGTCTTACAAAACATGGACCAGAATCTTTTTCGCACGCTGCCAAAACTGTGCGCTAAACCAAGGATGCTCGTTTGCGCTCCTTCAAATGCTGCGACCGATGAACTTCTCTCACGGGTCCTTGATCGTGGTTTTATTGATGGGGAAATGAGGGTTTATCGTCCTGATGTGGCTCGAGTAGGTGTTGATACTCAAACTAGAGCTGCTCAAGCAGTTTCTGTGGAGCGAAGAAGTGATCAGCTTTTAGCCAAGTCCCGTGATGAAATTCTCGGACACATGCACAACCTCAGATTACGAGAAGCTCAGCTGTCTCAAGATATTGCTGGACTTAAAAGGGAACTTACTGCTGCAGCCTTTGCTAATCGCTCTCAGGGTTCCGTTGGCGTTGACCCTGATGTTCTTATGGTTCGAGACCAGACCAGAGATGCAATGTTACAGCGCCTTTCTGCTGTGGTTGAAGCCAGAGATAAAGATCTTGTTGAGATGTCTCGCCTTCTAATTGTTGAGGGAAAGTTTCGAGCAGGTAATAATTTCAATCTCGAAGAAGCTCGCGCAAGTCTTGAGGCAAGTTTCGCGAACGAGGCTGAAATTGTTTTTACAACAGTATCAAGCAGTGGTCGTAAACTTTTTTCTCGTCTGACGCATGGCTTCGATATGGTGGTCATCGACGAGGCTGCTCAAGCTAGTGAGGTTGGAGTTCTTCCTCCCCTTGCCCTTGGTGCTGCACGATGTGTACTTGTTGGTGATCCTCAGCAGCTTCCTGCTACAGTTATTAGCAAAGCTGCTGGAACCCTTTTATACAGCAGAAGTCTCTTTGAAAGGTTTCAGTTAGCAGGTTGTCCAACTTTGTTGTTAACTGTTCAATATAGGATGCATCCTCAGATACGCGATTTCCCTTCGAGATATTTCTACCAAGGACGCCTCACGGACAGCGAAAGTGTTTCCACTGCTCCTGATGAGATTTACTACAAAGATTCTGTCCTCAAACCGTATCTGTTCTTTGATATCAGCCATGGACGGGAATCCCATAGAGGTGGATCAGTTTCTTATGAGAATATTGATGAAGCTCGGTTCTGTGTTGGCCTGTACATGCATCTTCAGAGAACTCTCAAGTCACTGGGCGGGGGTAAAGTCTCGGTCGGAGTAATAACCCCATACAAACTGCAGCTGAAATGCCTGAAAATCGAGTTTGGAAATGCTTTGGGGCAAGATGAAGTGAAAGAGATTTACATCAATACCGTAGACGCGTTCCAAGGGCAAGAACGTGATGTCATAATCATGTCATGTGTGCGTGCTTCCAATCACGGGGTTGGCTTTGTTTCTGATATCCGGCGGATGAATGTTGCTCTCACCCGTGCCAAAAGGGCTCTGTGGGTATGATGTTGTCTCTTGATGCGCACACGTAATAAGTTTTCGTCTGATAAACGTTTCTTGTTTTTTGAGACTTGTTATGTTTTTTGTTGAACAGGTGATGGGAAATGCATCTGCCCTGATGAAGTGTGATGATTGGGCAGCACTGATCACAGACGCCAGAGCAAGGAACTGTTTTATGGAGATGGAGTCTCTTCCCAAAGACTTCCCGGTTCCAAAGGTACCTAGCTTTATCCCCAAAGCGCCTAATGCTAGAGGTTTCAGATCAGGCGGGCCAAGAACCAGGGCAATCGATATGCACACTGAGTCCAGGTCAGGGACACCATCAGAAGACGACGAGAAGCTGAGCACAACAACATTCCCGAGAAATGGAAATTCTCGAAGGGAGAATACAGTTGATGACTCTGACCAGTCCGGGGATAGGTATAGAGACGCTTGGCAACATGGGATCCAGAGGAGGCAAAATTTTGGACGGCCTTTAGGGAGAAGAGACTAATCAACTCTACTGAACTTGATTCACTGGAGGAGCTAAGCTAGGGTGTTAACTTGAGAGATTTCGGAGCACCCGACCTAAGCTCACCGGTCGCACAGGGTCATCGCCACGAGAGGGTGACTCGGAAGTCATGAACTGTTGGAGAAAATGTAATATCAGAAGGTTGTCTACGTCAAAAGGGTTGGCGAAAGATGATGATTCCTGTTTGGTTCTTTGTGCTTCATCTCCAGATTCCATAATGTGGAATGTGCCAGTCGGAAAACTACACTGTAAAGTCCAACGCGACTCTTCTAAAGGCTGAATCCACTTGAATGAAATGGGAAGCTGCTGATAAACTAAGAGCTTGTCTGAAGCAAATCCTGCATTGTAAAACGCTGTCTGATTCTTTTGTGCAAAAGAACAGAAGATGATTTTGGTCGACAGCGAGTTGGGGGAAATGGGATGATTTGTTTAGTCTGCAGAAGTTCTTAGGAGTGTTATCGTTTTGTACATATATCTTCTGATGAATTATGAAACTTACTGTTTTTTTGTTCAATTGTATTTGTTTCTTATTAAACGTTTTTTTTTCCTTATCATATCCGATCAATGAAGAAGATTCATATATTTTCGACTTTCAATTACGGTTTCTCTCTAACAGATTCATCTATTCGAGGAACGTCTAAACTGTTTGTTCTGTGAACCCTCCTTATGTGATAAGATGAGAATACTGAAATGTAAGCGAAGAAAACGATTCATTCACATTTCCTTGATGAATCGCATGGTTTCTCTATCAATACATCATCCTTGCTGATGATCGCAAGATGAAAAGGTTATTACAAGTACAAAATATGAGAGAGAAGCTAAAGCTATTCAATCACAGTCTCTGTCATGGTGGGATGCTGACCGCAACTTCCGCCAATGTGCCTCCCCTCTCTGCTGCTGCAGTTAGTCTTGGAAGCCTCCTTCGTTTTCACCTCAGAACAGGTCTCTTCTTTATCTTTCTTAGAACTTTCACAGCACCTCGACTCACAATGGACATCGCTCTTCACTTTCAAGCTAGCTACCACGGGAACAACAGGCTTTGAGCAACAACTTTTGACCGACACTTTCACCTCCTCATCCAGATTGGCCAAGTTTGAAGAATCATCATGTACTGAGCCAGTTCCACAACAAACCGACTTGCAATCACCATCACCAACGTCAAGGACTATCTCCTCCGAGTCACCAGGCTTGTTATGACATGTTTGTTTCACCTCGTGTAGGTGTGGTCGCTGAATCTTGTTACCACAACACCCAGAGTCAATACCTTGTTCCAAATCACGAGGCTCTGCAGCACAACATTTCTTTATCACAACGATGTCTTTCTGTTTCTCATCACAACAACCAGAGTGGCTATGATCCGAACTGGTTCTCGCTGGTTTCATCACTTTCTCTAGATTCTTCTTCTTTCCACAACATCCTGACTTGCAATGCCCATCACTGCTCTTTGGTAATAACCCTGCTTCCATGTCCCCAGCAACATCACCTCCATGCTTCTCCGCGTTTAACACAGAGGGAGAAGAAGCCCTATGGCATTTGTTTACAGGAGCAGTGTGCGTATCACGAAGCAACAACATGCTATTAAGGATCACGAGAAGACAAGTTCCTACATCTGCAAGAACCGCTGCCCAAATCAGAGGGTGACCAGCAAAGGCCAAGGCAAGAATCGCTCCTTTCATAGTGATGGACAAGATCACATTCTCCACCACTTTCCTTTTGGCTCTGCGTGCAAGCCTTATCGCTTGCGGTATCCTTCTGATGTCGTTCGACATCAGGATTATATTACCGGTCTCTGTTGCAAGCGCAGAGCCGTAGATACCCATGGAGACACCGATATCCGCTGTAGCCAGAGCTGGTGCATCATTCAACCCGTCTCCTACCATAGCCGTTGGCCCTTCTCTCTTAAACTCTCTGATGATTTCGGATTTGCCTTGTGGAAGAAGTTCCGCACGAACAACATCCATTGCATTCCCTAGCTGTTGGTTCATATCATAAACATTTCAAGACTTCATCAGTGGGGAAACTCCAGAGGATATATATATATATACTTTAGTTTCAAGAGATTCTGAACCTGTTCTTGAGCATGCATTGCTGCTGCTTGATTATCTCCGGTAAGCATCGCAGTCTTGATTCCCAAAGATTTCAGTTCTTTCATCGCTTGAGCTACACCGGACCTACAAGCATCTGAGAGATTGAAAACTCCAGCAAGTGTTTCTCCGACGTAGACATATCCAACAGTCTTTCCTCCTTTGGTATCAACATCAATATCTGGAACTGTGTACATACACCAAAGCAAAAGAAGCATCAGCGAGAGTATAGAAAAATTCAAAAACATTTCACTCATTTGAATATGCACCTGATGAACACCCAGCTCTGGAAGCAATCCTTTTGTTCCCAATATAAACTTCTTTGCCATCAATCTTTCCATAAATACCTTCTCCTGGAAAGTTCTGGTAGTCTTCGACCGCTTCAGGTTTAGGCTCAACAGAGACAGATTTTGCATAATCCACAAGTGCAGAAGCCATTGGATGGCTTGACTTGCTCTCTGCGCTTGATACCCTAATAAATATACCATTTTCCACAATGTTCAGGCAAATCCACAAAAACGTAAAGTGTATTAAGTGGTGAAAAAGTCAGAAACATATGTTTTTTTTACCAGTAAAGCAAGTTGTGCAGGCTTATATCTCTGGAAAGTGACTTGAAGTCCATGACGACGAACTCGCCTCTAGTGATGGTCCCGGTTTTGTCAAAAGCAACGGTCTTGATCTTGGCTAAGGTCTCAAGACAATCAGCTCCTTTGATCAGAAGTCCTGATGTGGCTGCCTTTGTGAGCGCACAGAAAGTGGCTACTGGTGTCGAGAGAATAAGCCCGCATGGGCAAGCACTTACCAACACAACCAGTGCTAAGTGAAACCAATGTTTCGGGTTGTGAACCTTCAGTGCGTATGGAATAACCGCAAAGCAAATCGATATTATGATGACCGCTGCATACAAGCAACAGAAGATGAGGTCTCAGATCTCAAGAACAGAGAAAAGATGTAATGAATAAACCAAGAATCAGTTGCTGATTCTGTTACTAACCTGGAGTATAGTACTTAGAGCATTCGTCTATAAATCTCTGAGTTTCTGTTTTGCTGTTCTGAGCTTCTTCAACTAGCTTTGCCATCTTTGCAACCACACAATCCTCAGCAAGAGCAGTGGTTTTCACAGTTATGTAACCTTTAAAAACACAAGAGAATGATCAAACCTTTTTTGAAGAAGGTCACAGAAAAAGAATAAAGGTTAGAGGTACCATTTAGATTGATGGTTCCAGCCCAAACAGTCGAATCTCTCAGTTTAGCCACAGGGAATGCTTCTCCGGTCAAGGTTTTCTCATCGACTTCGCAGTTTCCATCCACAACAAGTCCATCGATAGGTATGGTTTCACCAGCTTTGACTGCTATAACTGTGTTGATCTTGAGCTCATCCACTTCAACTTCTTCTCCAGTCTCTGCAATCACTGCCTTCTGTGGAGCTAAACTCATCAGCGACTGCATCACCGCGCTTGCCTGAAATTTGTTTACAGTTAAAACCATTACTTGATCTCAGTCACAATATATTTGATACTTGAATCAAAAGAAAAAGGAAAATGGTGAAAGCAAAAACCTTGTAGCTTGCTCTTGATTGGAGCCATTCAGCGATGGTGAATAAGAAGACAACTGCTGCAGCTTCTGTGTAATCTCGCATACAGAGTGTTGCTCCCACTGATTGAAACAATTACAGAATATTAGCTATATTTAACCTCAACGAGTTTACAAGAACTAAGATTTAATTCGGATTTGAGTAATTATGTGATATTTTTCTTAACGTTTTAGCTTAAACATGATCAAATAATTCTTGAAGAAGATTTTATAACCATTTAACATTTCAAAAGCTCGTCAATCATGACTAATCTCAATTCAATATCAACGAGTGAAATTTATTAAGAAGTTGTAACGGATATAAAAAATAAAATTCACCAAATATCTAAAGTGACTAGTATAGGTTAGCCTTATCTTCTACACCAACTTTTAACTTATGTAATTCATCTCATATTTCTTAAATTAGTTTTCGGTTGAAGAAACCGTTTACATCATTCCCACACACAAAGAACATTTTGAACACGAAAAAACCGCCATCTGGATTCAACTCGGAATCTCCCTATAGCTAAAACCTAAAAGTTTAAAAATAATCAAATGTAATGAATCCATGAAAAAACAAATATACAGACCATTTGAAATTAGTATACTATAGAAAATCGCACAGTACTTTAAAATTCTACTACTTTTCTTTTAAACATTCGGCTTATATTTTAAAATATAAGAAAAATAAATGCTTTTAACATTTTTCGGTTTGCAAGAAAGCAGCTTTTACCCATGTTTCTTTTTGTTTTTCATTTCCCTTTTTGGTCTGAAAGTGGCAAAAAAAAAAAGGCCACGTGCAGAGGATAAAGACATAAAAATTTCAGAACAATTGCTTTGTGTTGAGTCTGTTGACCACAATATTCTAAATTGACCCATCATAATACATTATCTAACACATTCTCTAACCATTGGTACTTTTAAAATATTCACCTCAATTAATATTAGTGTAAAAAGGAGAAAAGAAGCACAAAAAATACGAAAACATTACCAGTTATTACAACAAGAATGTTGATGTCGAATCTACACCTTGCAATGGATGCTACAGATTTAGCTAGAATCGGATAGATTCCGGCGACAACGGCTGCGACGGCAAGCCAACGGAACGGAGAGTAAACATATTTGAAGAAGGAAAGGAGGAAGAGTAAGCCGGAAACCACCGCGAATGGACTTGGCCATTTATTTTTGAAATTGGTTTCTCCGGTTACCCTCACATTTGCTTCTAACCTCGCTTGGTTAAGTGCCTTAACTGCAACCACGATGATTAATTATTAATAAAATATTTATTGAGAAACATATATTCCATTGTCAATGTCATCTAGCTTATCCCACCACGAAACTACTGAAATGAGTCAGTGGGGAAAAAAAAAAAAAATCCCTTTTATAAAAGGAAAATAAACAAACGTTAAGCATGTGAACGATGCGTTACGTAATAAGCTCACAATGTTATTACATATTAAATTATCCTAAAGGACAAAACAGAACACAAACAAACGTTACAACCTTAGTAAAGAGTCACTGAATCAAGCCGAAGGAAAAAACAAATTGATATAAGTAAAGAATTACATATATATAAATGTTAATACATGTGTATGTAAAAATCTATGCTATGATTTTAAATTAACCGTTCAAATTTCAAGTGTGAACTCCGTTAGTAGGTCGCGTAAATAAATGTCTGAAAAAGACGTCTGTAACGCGAAACCCATCAATATTGTGAATGGGACATTCATTAAATTAGCCACAGAGAAAAATATAAATATATTTTTTTATAAAAAGGAGAAATAATTTTATTTTTCATTTTATTTATAAAAAAAAAGGTTTTACCAATGTGGAACTGGGAGATGATGAGGCTATCATGAACGACGATGACGGTCCTTGACGGAACGATGACGGAATATTCCTTGATTCCGTCAAGCGATTTGAGGATGTTCTCAATCAGCGGAACCTCCGATGTACAGCAGATTCCAAGAACATCGAAGTAACTCTTCGTCATCTTCTTCTCGTTCTTCGACGCCATGATTCTGCGAGAAACTGGAAGCAAAATCGAAAATTGTGAGAAAATCGCTTGTGGGTTTATGTTTATTTGTTCAACACGATTTCATGGAAGGGGATATCGGAGAGAAGGAAGAAAGTATTTGGGGAATGCATGTAACGTGTTCGAAGAAATGTGTGAAAGAAGAAGATGGGGTGATAACGTTGTCGTTAGGTTCACTCTACACTTGGCGGAAATAAAGGAAACAAATTTTGGGGAATCTGTATATTGTTGCATCTCATCGAAAAAATCTCAACTTTTTTTTGTATAAAAAAAAAAAATTACATCAGTGAGATTATTGCAAAGGTCTTAAAAATCTTCATCTCTAATACTATTTAGAATCGTCACAAAACTTGGAAGAAGGAACTTTTTGGGCTTATGCTAAGGGAGACAAAAGGAAGAGTCACGGAAGCAATGCGAGAGAGAAAGAAGAAGAGCATTTCGAAATCGTCATGATATCTATGTGAAGAAGACAGAAGAAGAAAAGAATACCGGAGATAGAGACAGAGCTAGCAGAAGGACGGAGACACTATGATCGGACCGGTTTAGTTCGGTTTGATTCGGTTTAGATACTTTGTTAATTAGTTAAAGAGAGAGGACATTGGTTTTTGATGTAGAGATGATGATGATGATTTGAAGGTGAAAGAGGATTGTGAATGGCGGTCGCTTTATATAGGCAAATGTGTTAGGAAGTGGGATTAAAGATCATTGGTGGGTTTACTTAACTTCCTTACCATAATTATATTCTTTCCAAATTAAATTTTACTTATTAAAAAAAAAAGTCCTCGAATATATTATCTTAATAATGTAAATTCCATAGTACTGTGGTAGGCTGCTTCTTTCTGATTCCTATTCTCCCTCTCATTGTTCTATTCTAACATTGCAATTTCGGATTATATGTTTGATATATACTAGAAAAAGTAAATTTCGTTTTTGGTCCTGGAATAAAATATAGTTGGAGATTTGTACCTTTGATTTTAGTAAAAAGCTTTAAATGATTTTACTTGTAACGCCGAATTTTTGTTTGGGGGTATACACGTGTGAAATTTTGGAATTGCGTTACACAAGATACTTTTCTTGAATTATTAAATGGCGTGAATATATTTTGAAAATAAAAGCATTAAGTAAATGAACAAACTCTGTTTTTTATCCAAGACTAAAAACTCAGTTGAGTAAGTTTTTTGGTAGTATTCCAGTAACATATTTTGCAGTTCGTTGACCACATGAATGTAATTTATAAATAATCATGTACCAAAATGTTAAGTAAAAAAAAACTTACTAAAATCTGAAGTCTCTAAATCATGTGTATAAGTCAACATATAATTTATTAAATTCTATTAACACATTATTATTTTTATCAATAAACTGGCCAGTAGTCTCTAAATCATGTATAAGTCAACAAATTTATGTTTCGTCTGACCATATGAGTGGTATAATTCATCAGTACAATTGCATACCAACATATAACATTATATACAGACTACGAATTCAAATACTGTATGTATCAAATATTATATATATTATTTTTTCAAAAATATTTGTAAATTTTTATATTAAGAGACGGTTGAGCTGGAAAACAGAGAGAGAAGATAACTAGTTCGATACGTCACGAATTTAGGCATACGTTTTACGATAGAGCTAAAAATAGAATTACATTTGTTTTATGTTTTAAAGATAAAATACTCCAATAAAATATTAATGGAGTTTGTTTGGGGAAATATGGTTTTAATGTGGTAAGTCAGAGACATGAGAACAAAGGTGTACTACAATAATATAGTGGAGAATCCAAAGTACAATGTCACAGAGTGCGAATCCATGTGTAATTCCTCATTTCAATACTTCTTTGGTTTTTCTTTTACATTTTTTTCATAATTTTGTGTAAGATTAGATAGATATCCTCTCGAAGAGAATACCTCCTGTATGTGGAGTTATTAGCAGAAACAAAAACTCATGAATAAAAACTACAAATAGTCAAAATTTGGTCTATCAGTTGTCTATGTATCCTCGTGGGAGTAAATTACAAAAACATCATTTATTTACATTCATTAATGCTTGTAATTAAATTATATACTCCCAAAGTTACATTTACTTGCTTTTCGATTGTTGAATACTTTCGCTTGAGGTTTGACGTGCATCAATGCTGCGAAACATATTAGGTCCATCTTCTCATCTTCTTCACACACTCTCTCTCTGTCTTTGAATGGCTTAGGCTTAAGACCAGTGACCACCGTCTACAAGAGGCAAGTACCCTAGTTTGGCACATCACCATCTATGGCGAGAGGGGAACATATGTTATCAGTATCATCACCAACACCCAAGCATTGTGGTTCATTATATTCAAAAAAGAGAGTTTGTCAAAACCATCACATAAGATAGAAAGAAAGAAATGGGACCATTGACCAAAGTCAAAACCAAGACCCGGCCCAAAGTGGCCACATGAACTTTCTTTTGTTGATGGTGAGAGCTTGAGAGGGGTAAAAGCATAGATATTACTTTTTAAAAAAAAATATATACTTGAGTTGAGTTACACGAGAGGTTATCTAGTTATTATACTTATGGACTTGATACATTAATAATCATCCCCTACTATTTTTCGCCTGATCCTAGGGCTCATATGATATATTTCTCGGTTTAACAAAAGAAATAAAATAAGTAAGACAAACATGTAACTGTTGACAGAGTAGACAGAGGCCACAAGCCCACAACTGCCGAGTGGTTACAGTAACAATGTTACTATTCATATCATTATTGTCGTCGCCAATATGATTAAGATCATAGTCATACTCATAATTATCATAATCTTTATAATTGGAGTGGCTTAATCTTCAGTATATTAAAGAAATAATTTCTTTTTCCTGCGAGCTAAACCTAAAGTGCGGCATTTCCCACCAAATCTTCCATTATTGGCTTTTATTGTCATTATTCCCTACTTGTAAGTATATAGTCCACATTATCTATTGTCTCCTCGATTCTCACAAATATTTCCCCAAGGGCCAAGTGATATTCACTCTGTCTACTTTCTCGAGAGATTTAAAACTTTATTTTAAAACTCAACCGTTCTTTTTTAGTCTTTTCTAGCCGGAAATTTCTATGACAAAAGATTGAATAATTTTGAAGACATGTGAAAAATTGAGTATTTTTGTCATTGAACATGTTCACAGTTTGCTTTCAGCTTCTTAAAATCGTTAGGAGTAACGTTTTTGAAGGTTTTGTCTGTTAAAACATATTTTCGTTTATAATTTCCACATATGTAGATACTTAATAGTAAAAATTAACATCTTAACAAAAAAGGAACATATTGCTAAATAATAGATAAATCATGCAAATAATCAACAAACAGTTGCTGCAATTATCCGTTCATTTACCTACTCCTCATCGCTTACTATTGGTTTACCATTGTTAATAGCGTTAAACTAATAAAATTTGAGTTTAAAGCGATGAGTGGTCTAATTATAACAAGTGTGAAGAATGTGTGTACGTTCAATTTGTAATGTATATACCTTAACCACTCCTTACCTTATTGATTCATCATTTTTGAAAGCCTTACAAATCAATACAAGTTACCAATCTTCTTCACTAACAGGTACAATTGGTTTTTTCAGTATATCAACTTATCATAAAGTATATCAAGTTAAACACACCTAACTATAGAGTATAGAAATGGACATATAATAACTGTCGGAGCAAATTGTAAAACGCTCTTAACATTCTACCATTGAACAACTAAAGACTGCCAACGTTTTTTCCTCTTCCTTATGACCACAAGCCTAACCTTTTTCTCAAATTCATTTTTTATATTTGGAAAAGTTTCATCTGCGTCCCTTTGAGATCATAAAGACTCAAATAATAATTTGCGTAAAAGAAGACCAGAAATAATTTTAGCAGCACACTTCCACTATCTTTCCAAAAGGTTCGAGTAGTGGAGGAATCTACCAATGTTTCAAAACAAAACAACTTACTTTTTCTTTATTAAAAATATATCATAGTAAAAGGCAACGTAAATGAGCCAAACACTAAATAGATATTATAAACAAAACATATAAAACATGTCTAGTGGGAAAGGGAATATAATTAAATTGTGAACTGCAATGATAGATATCCTTCTCTTGTGTTTCGATAAGTCATTCTACTTATATTTGTTCTACCACCTGATACACTAAAATATTCGTTCCCGAATCTTCGGAACTTTTTCTCAGAACAGTAACTCACCTTTATATATTATTTAAAATTTAAAATTATTATATATTGTTGCTACAGATTATCAATATTTTCTTGGTATGAAAGAAAAGACAACGGTGGTAGATACACAAGCGAAATTTTCGAAATAATTCAGTGAATTTGTTTCTTGAATTAAATACTAAATCTACAACCGAAAATATATTTCTTATTTGATAAGAATTGAACTATATGTCTCTTTTTCCGTCTTCTTTTGACAGATGTAACAACTCAATTTCAGAATAAGTAATACCTTATATTTTATAAGTTATCGTAACAAGACGTTTTTTTTTCTTTTTTCATTTTAGATTTTTCAGTTTTTCAAAAAGCTTGATTTCCGAATATGAATTATTATAGAGGTGGATATGTATTAGTGATGCACTAATATATATATATATGGAGATAAGGAGATCCATTTGGATTATAGAATGTTGATGGTTACGTATTATTGATCAATTAAAAATATTATAGGCTTTTACTACAAACTAATAAAGTGGCTACGAAAGAGTTTAAAAATTAAGATGCTCGAGCTTTTACTTAAGAGTTAATTCTAAAAATGATTGCTCATATATCTCCAATCTTTTTGTTTTAACCAAAGATTAAAAAATAACAGTTTTTAGTGTTTTCAGCCTTGACATATTATACTATTTTTTTCCAAAATTTCTGAAGATGATGAGTGGTGATTTGATATATGGTAGGACTAGGAGTCTAGGACCTAAAAAGCATATGATCTGCCAAATTACGCAGAATCGAGGAAATAATTTTTGTGTAAAATCGAGGAGACCAGAAACATTTGTGAATGTATGATAGATTCTCATGATCCATTGCTTGTTCTCGACTATACAATAATCATCA